ATTTTTTGTAAAATACTTATGTCTATTTCTTGAAAATTATTATTATCTATTGAGTGATAAAAAATAAGGATTCAATGTCTCTTTTTATCTCCTTGTATGGAGCAGTGTGTAATTTATTATGCTTTTAACCCTTTATTCCCATTTTATCAGCTTAAGTTTCCATTTAATCTCACAAGAAATAGACTGCTGTCATATGGCAACTTTACGCAGTATTTGAGGAGAATTTTCTCATCTTCCTAGAAATTTATTTATTTGCCTTTATTTTTATTGCTTTTGGGTAAACTCAGGCAACATCTTGAAAAATCTTAAGAAGCAGAAATTGTCACAAAATCAGCAAATTGAATTATGAAGAAAACACCTGGATATTGACGTGTCTCATTGAAGTCCAGGTTGTGTAAAGCACAATTCAAGAAGCAGAAGTTTAACTTGACATACTGTGCTCCATGTGAAACTTGGTATGTGTGTGTGAATACTTCATGAAAGCACAGCCAGGCAGATACATACTTCCTATAAGAAGCTATAAATTGCCTTCTATACCCTCCGAATACAGTCTACTTGAAGCCCACCCTGAAACCTTGCAGTCAGAGCAAGGATCAGACCGATGAGGTTACTGTATTTCATGCATAGGCTGAAAACAAACCAAACCTACCAAATATTTAAAAAAAAAAAAAAAAACCTCAAAGATTCAAAGTGAAACAGAAAAGCCAGTTGTTTGCTATCCATTCTGAGCAGCAGGGCTAATGCCAGCTTGCACATACTTGATATTTTGACAGAGTAGATCACAGCACATTTCACAAATGCAGACGTGCATCTTTTGCCCCTCTTTTACAGAGGCCAAATGTCAGAGATGTAATGGTTACACCAACTAATTGCTTCAGGCCAGACAGTCACAGAGTGTAAATCACAGGAACTCGACTTGATTCTGCAACACTAAGAAGATCCATGCACTGTGCATGTAAACACAGAATTTGGACAGGGAATAGTGGCAAAATGTACAGCCTTCTAACATGATCAGAAGCAATTGACACAAATATTTTCTGTGACGTTGCAGACAAAAGGATGACTTCTACCCTAGACATACCAATCTTTAAGATGCTTTGATTTATACATTTAAAATTGATACTTTAAGAAATGCACTTGCATTTCACATCAGCTGGAGAAACTTTAAGATGCATCCCCAGGAGGACCAAAATATGTTACAGTGATCGTAGAATCATTGTATTTGGAAGAGACCTTCAAGATCATCGAGTTGAACCATAAGCCTGTCAACACCATGTTGACCACGTCCCTAAGTGTCTCATCTGCACCTTTCTTGAACACTGCCAGGATGGTTGTTTAGGTTTCTTTTCTCCTGCTTGCTGGAGTTATGCCTCAAAACACAAACTGCATAAAACACAGAAAAGGGCAAAAGTCCAAACCATACAAAATTCTACTTCTTCCCATTTGGGAAATAAAGGTTCTGATGACACCTGCTGGCTCCATGGGGACTAAACAAACGCCAGCCAGCACCTGCTCCAGCTCTTGCATGGAAAAAAACAGGACATACAAATTACTGAAAATCAAAACATTACGCTTCTATCAGAGAATCCTAGGAAACAAGTGTAGGAGTGACTTTAAAATGCCATTTACTCCCTCCCTGTTTCATTCTATTTTTCTCATTTCTGATGGATATTTTTTTATCCTGTTACTAAAAACTTCTAATATTTCTTTAGACACATTTGTTCAGTGTTTCATCATCATTTCCTGTAAAGGCTTTCAAACTAAGATATCCTATTATCAAACAATTACCATTTAATTAGGCAGTTCAAAGACAATTAGACTATACTCAGCTATGAAGTTGAAAATATAGAGAAGATATTTTAGCCGTGTGTTATGAAATCCTACTGTTTTACTGCTTTGTCCACCTGTTATTATTAAGCACAATAACCCACTCAACCCACCTCAGGTGAGGTGCTGGAACATGCACATTTCAAAGATGCTTTCCCAGCAGGAATCCTCCTAAATAGAAATAGAAATAATTGAACAAGCCTAGTTCTCTAAGCGAATGCTCAGGCCTATAAACAGTGTGGGTATGGAGCCAGGAAGAGTTTTGTAGTCGGATGATTTCAATTGAACTTCAATTTCAGTTATTGTAAGTACCCTTTGAGTGGCAGCAGAAATCTTGATGAATCACGTAGTGGATAAAGTAAGTATGTTCAAGAGATTGCATAAAAAAACTCTTTTAGGACTTTTAGAACACATTAGTTTATATTTTATGAATAATTTCATTGTGATATTTTGTAGAAAAATAATACAAATCATTTCAATTCATCTCCTGCGTTATTCCTGTTGCACATCATGTTTAGCTAATAGTATAACCAGGTCTGAGTATTTTCCTAAATTAAAGTATTTTAATCTTAATTCATCATCAAGCCTGGACAGAATTTATGACTGATCTCAACCAGCTACATCAAGTCAAAGGTAAATATCATGTGGCTATGTGAGAGAAATGAAATGGGCAGTGACTACCTAAAATAATTATCAAAATTCATAGGTCATTGAGTGAAATGTATTTATTTGGTTAGTACTGGGAGTGTCTTTGTTTCATTCCTAGAACAATGTGATATCCTGTTCCTGGAATTGTGCCCAGTATGCAGCCATTTGAGTTTTGGCTGTGGCATGGTGCATGAAACAGTGGCATGACTTAAACAAGCACAAAAGTTGTAGGCTAAGGACCTTAGAATTGGAAGGAACCAATTGGCCTAAAGAAAATTATGAAACGTCCTAATACAAAATGCTAAGATACCCTTCTGACTGAAGGCTCCCTGACTGAAAGATCTTAGGAAAGCAGGATTACTTTGGAGAACAGAAGAGCAGTCTCTGCAGTAGAGGTGTTCCCAGCCCCAATAAGGAACTGCAAAATGATGAAAGAAATTTGCAGCAGAGATCCTCTGAATATTTGAAAGCAGGAGAAGCTGTAGCTTTCTCTGCAGGGCCCACCTCCGTCCATACAAGACTCACAGAATCTCTAAACCACAGATTGGTAAGAATTTGGACTACACATCACTGCCCAGTGTTTCAGGTATACCAAGAAGTTTGTCTGTTGGAGGAGCAACAGTCTTTATTCTCCCTGTAAATTTCTTAGCTACCTATTGACCAGAATTAACACTGTGTCCATGTTGTTCTGACAAAAACTAGCAAAGATACAACCAGGCAGCAATACATGCGCGTTGCTACCACTTGTTTTGGTCACAGGTCTGGTCTCATCATGTTTTTTTGCCTTAAATTGATGAAAAATTCAATTTCACCAGGGTGCCATGCTGTTAATCCTCTCCTAATAAATCGCTCTTAGAATATGTATAGTCTGGCAGAGTGTTACCCATATGTTGTGTGGTATTTTACAGCTCCAATACTTCCATTAAATCCAAGGGGCTACTGACAACATAAATAGCTTTTGGTGGGAGGAATAAATTACTCCAAATAGTGTAAAAAGATTTGCTTAGCAAGGTGTTACCAAGCATGAAAAACTAGCATGGCCTTCATGAGCAACTACAGAGGAAAGCAATCCTCTCAAAACTCTGTATACAACCAAATACATCTTAATCAACCTCCTTTTTCTTCCAGATAATTTTTTTCTAGATAAAGTATATATTTTATATCATACAGAAAAGATTTAGCTGAGCTATTCGATGATTTTAAGTTCTCTTTAAAACCTTATCTTCACCATCATCCATAAATATTACTACTTTTGAGTAGTAATCAAAAGTGTCAGTGCTGACACCAGCCTGACTCAGGCAGAGGTTCCAGAGCTGACCATATGTGTCATAGTCCTGGAGTGAGGATGAGGATGAGGATGAGGATGGAGTGAGGATGAGGAGAGTATAATAGATGATACATGTGTGTTGTGTAAATCAGGCTTTCCTGGTATGGTCTCTCCTGGCCACAGAACACGCACAGTTTTAGTGCCACATTGCAGTAATGCAGTTTTTTTCTCTCATATCAAATACAAGTTTTTCAATGCAATGGTTAGAAACTGGAATTCAAAATCCAATGACGTGAACTGACCACAAAAAAAATAAAAAAAAGAAAAAATATAGAAAATAGAATATCTATTCACCAGAGAAATTAAGTACTATAGCATGATAAGGGAGCTATTTACGTTTGAAGAAGAGGTTGTATAATGCCGGGATATAGCCTTAAGCTACCCAGACTTTTGTTCCTCTGTCTTTTAATACAATTTCTATACTTGGCATCTATTGTAACAAAGATTGTTTCTAAAAGGCAGAAGATTTTAAAAGGATTTAAATCCCCAAAACCGGATTGCAGCAGAGTTCAGATAGCTAATGCCAGTGACCCTTCATTTTTATCTTGAACATCTGAAGTGCCTCCAATGCAGAAATACCAGTAACCAGTAACCCGGCCTGGCCGGCATCGCGGCTCCACCACCTCGACCCGTCGGGCACGCAGCACTGCTCTGGGGCCACTGGAGAGGAGCCGCCTCCACGCCAGGCATTGCAGCAAGGGCTGCTGCCATCAGATGACACGTTTTCCAGAGGAGATCACAGCCCCAGTTGTTCCTCTAGGAGGAATGACCAAACTGCAAGGCTAGAGCACGGCCTACAAATGCACCGTGCCTGTTCACTGCCTCCCTGTCCCTTCCCTTAGCCCAATTCCCCAGTGAATATTGGCTTGTTCTTTGAAAATTGTACATTTAAGCAGGATTGGTACTGCAGTTTAGAATCTGCCTGTAAAATAATTCTCACATGAGGTTGGATAGGTGGGTCTGAATGCTGTCAGAAAGCAGAAGGGTTGGTGCAAAGTGTTTATTTTCTCCTGTTTCTCAGGAAAGATATAAACTATTTACTGGAAAATAACCCTCCTTCATTATGACATTTATGGGAAACACAATACTCAGTGTTTATAAATCAGTTAATTGATAACAGGAAGAAAAACAGATAATTACTCTTTGGAATAGCAAATATTTGTTGCAGATCTATGTGGGGCGGTCATCTTCATCGTTTTTTAGCAGTAGTTGAATGAGAGATGTACCAGACGAGCTACTTAATTGGTAAGACAACTTTAAATTATGTCCTATTGCAGATGGGAGGATTTTTATATTTATCAGATATTCTCTAGATGTAATGTTTAATTTAACCAGTACTTGATTTTTATCAGCATTCTAACATTTTAGATTTTTCTCATGCTACAATGTCTTTGGAATAAAAACGTATTTAAGCAAAAAAATTACTTTGTGCTCTTAGGCTACTACGAACAGTTATTTCGAAAAACAGCATTGACTTCTTCATTTCTATACTTTGCACTACACTTTGCTTATATATTTATGAACTGTCTATTCTGCTGTAAAGTGTGATCTCTAAATTAGTACATCTAAAATTAACATCTAAAATTAAAAGCCTTTCTATATATCAAAAACATCCTTTTATTTGCCAACACTGCTTTTCCCAGTCCTAGATGGCATGCTGTCTTTCTGTTATTAATAGTAAATGGCTAAGTTCCTTTTTTAAAGTGCTGCAATCCTCATTTTGTAATGAAGATTTAGTGTAATTGTGAGCTTCTTATTCCTGTGATGCTCGTAGCACAACCAGATTAGCAGTATTTGTGTATGCTTGAGGAAGTGGGAATTTTTTGATGAGTGTTGAATGGTCTGGCACGTAGCTGTAAATAAAAATTTTTCACAGCAGACCCCTCCCATGGCAGTAGGCCCATTGAAGGAGCAGAGGGGCCTTGCAGTTCCTATAATGTCTCTTACCTGCTCTGCTGTACTGTCAGGTGGAGGAAAATACCTTCCCCAAAGGGGAAAATACTTCCCCCACGCCTGCAGATTTTGTTGGTGCTTCATTTGGCCAATGAGGCAGGGAGACAGGAGCCCCATTCAAATAAATTGCCTGTCCTAGCCCTGCAGAATCAGACCTCTCAGGTGTCACCAAGATCCCAGAACAAGGAATTGTCTTTTCAGGTGGGCCTTGGGCATTGGTTCAAATACAGGATAAGTAAACATGAAGATTTTCAAGATCTGCATCTTCAGCCAGTGAGGACAGTAGGAATGTCACTGAAAATAAAGTGAAAATTAAAAGAAAAAAAAAAAATCACAACTGTAGTAAACTGTGTCTTTTACTATGCTCCCTAGCTGATGCGCACAAGGGATGAGGCATAACATTGAAGAATTTCACTGACTCTTGATTAAGTCATTACAGTCCATCTGCGTAACACTAAGTACAGAACGTGACCTCTTATTTCAAAAGAAAATATCCCACCAGCTGACTGCCAAATACATCTTGCGACTTGGCACCCAAACGTCTCAGTGCTTACATCAATTTACATCAATGTACTGTGATGATGTCACACCAGCTCTTAGTCAGGCAGATGACTAAATGGCCATCAGAAAGACAGTTTCCCCTCTGCCAAATCATAATTTATGCAGTGGCCATAATTTGCTGTTACAGATCCTTAACTAAAAGGAGGAGTTTATAGTTGCCATGTGTTTTCTACATAGTCGAGTCAGTATTTTAATGATGGTCTATATAACCCATTTTTCTATCTCTTTTATCAGTTTTCATGTCATTGCTAGGCAAAAGTGTTCCATGCAGGATTTGTGGTCTTGAATATCCTGTTTAATTTACAATGGGGAAATGCCTGTTCAAAGATTATGGTCATTCAAAATTGTTTCATAAGGGAAATTCTACACAAGACTATATACTTAATAAATTGCTCCATTACTTTTTAATATTTTACCTACTTTATTTTGTATAATGTCTCAAGTCCAGGCTGAAAGTGCAGCTGGCTCTGTGAAAGATGAACACCTTTGCAGTTTGTGATCGAAATGTGCCAATTTACACGAGTGAAATTTGATGCTAAAGGCCTAGGGTCCTCTGGAAAATGTGTCCAGTTCTCTCTGAAAGTTCTGTAGGACAGACAGATCTTGTGTTAATTATGCTAAGAAAACAAAACTTGTTTAAAATACTTTATTTTATGTATAGAAAAACTGTTTCACCTTCATGCTGTTTGACACTAAAACATTTCATTTTGGGGCAGGAGACGGCACTGACAGATCTGCTTCATTATTTGCTGACCAAAGAAGTACAGAAGAACAGGGAATCTTATGACACATGGTCAAGAAAATGATCTGCATGGAATAATAAACAATGCATATCAGAAGGATGAAAAGAGAAATCGAATGATGAAGGGCGAGCTTTCTGCATAGTGATACTGTATTCTCTGTCCTGCATCTCATAAACGTTTCAAGGCTTGGTAAGTTGAGCTAAAGTCTGCCCCAATGATCCAGCCACATATTACCATGGCATCAGTAAGGATTAAAGGTGGCTGGGCATGACATCAGCTATAACGTTACCTTGTTCTTCGTGCGTACAAAACCTAGCATGTTTTAGCAATATTTATCTAGGCTTCTGCAGAACTTTGACCTTTTTTCTGATGTTGAATTTGGTGGCAGACTTCAGTTCAGTCAGATTCACTGACCAAAATTTCCTATGCTTAAATTCTTCCCATTTCTCCAGGTTCACAACAGCACACTACCTCACGTTTGTAGAAATATTTTGTAAACTGCTTATACGCAAAGCAGCAGATGTTTTATTGTTACTAAACAAGAACAAGATGGTTGTTTTATTCTTGTCATGACAATATCTGATTCCAATTCTTCACCAGTCTATAAACACAATATATGAAGTAAAAAAAAATGACAGGATAAGAGCTATCATTATACATACCATTAAAATGAGGAACATCTCTTTTTCCTCCAATGAAACTTTTTCATAAAGGAACCAAAGAACCAATTCTGGGTTCCTTAGAACACAACAACCTTTTAACAGCAGTCACTTTCTGGAAATAATATATTTGCTTCGCAAAGTAAGAACTTCTAGAGCCCCATTCACATTATTATCCTCTTTTTCTTCACATGTGAAGGACTGCTTATTACTAAGTGTTATTATTATAATTAGGTCAGTTCTGAAACAAGATTTTATTTTCTCTCATTTAGATGAATGAATACACAAAAGGCTCATTGATGCCTTAGTCCAATCCTGACTTATTTTGATCGGTTTGACTTAAGACAGTCTTTTTGAAAAACACAGTTTTTGTCTGATTTCAATTTTCTCCAAAACTAGAAATATACTTCTAGAAAATTTCTCCTGGGAAAATAAGGCATAAGTTTCATGGTAAAATTCCATTCTTCAAAGTTTTTAAAATGAATTCACAGTGTACAACTCTTGCATTCTCCAAGTCATCACTGAAATATTATTTTCAAAAGTATTAAAAGATTTAAAGAATTTTTTTTTCTGCTTGGCTCCTGTAATTTATCATTTCTGGAATAAAACCTACTGGCAGGAGTTTGTCTTTTGTATAAAACACACAAATATTTAAGTGTTTGTTTTTAGAAGACATTTTTTGACATAATGTACTTTTACTCTCAAAACTAGGTTGTTTTCTGTTTTTATTTTTATCATTCTCGAAAATAAGGTAGTTTTTGTGTTTTTCTCAAGTGTTTTTTTACACAGAGTTGAATCTTGTTGATATGCATAACATCAATATAAAAACGGTAAGGTAAAAAATATATTAAAAAAGCATTTCTAGAGAAAGGATGAAAACTGTTTGAGTCTGGCAGACTTCAACCATTATGAAGGAAAGGATGGATCGCATGAAAATATGCAACCATAATTAAGACACCTGACCTGGCAAACATAAATGGAGCCCATGAAAATGTGAAAACATGGCTAAGACACCTAACATGGGGACCACAATGTACCACCAGTGCCAATGAAGTTGAAGAAGAGAGTTACAGGTCTCTAAACATATCACTATCTGCAAAGTTTTTCAGGGAAAATGTCATTTTCCAACACAATTTGCCTAGTTATTTGTACTTACAGATAACATCAGTGAAAGGTGTTACTGATGTCCACCAAATATATATGGCATATATCAAACATATCTTGGTGTTGGATATCCCACTTGAAAATCTGGGGTTCATTTTATTATAGAATTACAACTTAAAATGGAATAAAACACTAAAATTCTTCTAGAATGAAAAGTGAATAGAACATGGTGCTCTCCAGAAAATCAAGTTTGTTTTGAATCCACTTGCCAATGCTGGAAAACTCTCTCTTCCACTGATTTAAATTTGACTCTTTGGGTAAGAACCAAATCTTATAGTGTCTCCACTGAAGAGGCAGATAGAGCACTTTGCTGCATCTTTTACCTTGTGATTTAAAATATAAACTAGAACAAAAAATCATTAAAGTCATTGATTGCAATGCTTTGTTTTCTTTACTAGGAATTCTCACTATTGGATGCCAACATGAAAACAGGAATTTATCTACTATTTTTATGTGAAGTATGTGTTGAAATAAGCAAGGCTGACATAAAGATTCTGAAAGAGGAAAAAGAGGAAAAATTCTCACACAGAAATAAATATGTAAATACATCTGAGCAGTGGGATCAGCATGCAAATACCTCTAAACCTTTTGAAAAGCATATCGTGGAAGATTTCACTCTTTACAACTTCACTGAAAAGACTGCAGATTTTGGATTTGATCTCTATCGAAAAATTGCAATGACACATGACAAAAACGTGGTCTTCTCTCCTCTCTCTGTATCAGCTCTCATGGCTACATATATGTTTGCAGCCAAAGGGGAAACACACAGACAAATTGTAAAAGGCCTAAACCTCCATGCTTTGAAAGACCCAGAGAATCGGTATTATTTACCAGCCTTGTTTAAACAACTAAAAGATAACATCACAATGAATGAAGAACTACTTCTTGTGCAAGGTACGCTCTCTTTTATCCAAAAGGACTTCACACTGAAGGACTCTTTCCTCAATTTATCTAAACAGTACTTTGATATGGAATTCCTGACCGTGGACTTTCGAAACATCACACAGGCCAAATTGGTTATAAATCAAAATATTAGCAACAGGACCAAGGGAAAGATCCCACAGCTTTTTGAAGACCTTGACCACCATAATAAACTGCTACTTGTGGACTACATTTTCTTTAAAGGTAAGTACTGATTTTATTTTGCAAAATGATTATTTATGGTAAGAGACAATGCTCTGACTTCAGGTACATTAGGGGAAGTTTAAATGAATCCTGATGTCTGTTTTGCCTCCATCTCCATCCAAATTTACTTTCTTCTTCCATCATGTTTATCTAATAGTAAATGAATTTCCATGATAGTGAATGTCTAATATTCTACACCATCAGGCTGAACGAAAAAAATAGCCACAATGTGGAGAGTGTGTTCTGTGGATGGGGCTCCTCTAGTACCAAATATGTTGTGTCCCTTTTCCTGCTGTTGTTTTTGACTACTGGCTTAGCAGACAGATGTGGGACTTGAAGTAACAAGGAATGATAACTCATGTTCATGTGACACTTAATAAAGAAAAGGAATATCAGTTCTGAATTTAACTGGTAATGAATCAGACTCAGAAAAGAGATTTCCCTTCCTTCCTTGGCAAATTACATTGTTTATTTTGTGCATTACTATTTTTTCTTGAGGTAAAAAAATGTAATGAATATATATATTTATACAAGGGAACGGCAGTTTTTATCCACTTCTCCCAAACACAACTGATAGCCATTTCTATTAGCTACAAAAAGGGATATATGCATTTTAGGGTTTCTGAACACAGTTCTGAATAAGCATGAAGGCACATATTCTTTCTTTCTTTTCTCAGGCAAATGGCTCTACCCTTTTAATTCTAAATTCACGGAAATTGAGACTTTCCACATAAACAAATTCCGAAGAGTGCAGGTACCCATGATGTTCAAGTCAGATAAAGTTAACTCAACTTTTGATGAGAACTTAAGATGCAGTGTGATAAAGCTTCCTTACAAAGGGAAAGCCCACATGCTGGTTGTCATCCCAGAAAAGGAGGCAGATTACATTGCACTTGAAGACCATTTGTCAACAGACCTTGTGGAAACATGGCTCAGAAACATGGAGACCAGGTATTGTTTCTTGTTCTTTTGACTTTAGCATTCTCTATATCTATTGCAGTAAAGCAAGAAAGCAAAAATAAAAGATTAGCTGGTTTTTCTAACTAATTTAATATGCTGGTATCTCTGTTGCATTATCTACAGTGGAGAAGTCATATTATGATCTAGCTACATCTGTGGCCAAAAACAATATGAAAGCTTCTACTATTAGCACATCACTTAAGTCTGTGATTCAAGACAGTAAGAAATGCCTGTGTCTCTGATTGTATAGTCAATTTAGTCTTTCTAAATTCTTCCTTAGGCCCTAAATCTCCATAAACACAGCTCTTCCAGGAAAACTGTAAAATAAACTAATACATAGAGTGCCTTTGTGAAATCTTTCCTACCAGTGCAGGAAACCCAGTGTAACAGAATAAATTTAATCATGAAAGTGTAAAAATAGATTATTTCTGTGAAATGAGATTCCTGGAGTGACAACCCTTTCCATTGGTTAATAAATTACTGTGTCACTTGGGTATCAGGGCACTGGAGGTGCTGATGAAAATATACAGCAAAGGAAATGAGTTCTAGCATTTCTGGCAATTGACAGGTCAGGAATGATATTTTGCCAGTCTGAATTCCTATGGAGATGCCTTAAAGTTTGCCCCTAGTGAAGGACATTTGGATAAAGTTTAATATCCAAGTAGTCTGAATTCAGCAGTAAAGTGATATGGTCTAACCTTTTCTTGTTTTTTTTTTTTTTTTTTTTCTTTTAAATAGAAAAGTGGATATTTCATTTCCCAAGTTCAAACTAGAACAAAAATATAAAATGAAGAAATTGCTTCATGGTCTAGGAATTAAAAATCTTTTTGCACACACAGCAGATCTTAGTCATCTCACAGATCAAGGATACATAAAAGTCTCACAGGTAAATTTCCTAATACGTTTTGCTGTTTGATTTGCAATAATGTCTAATAGGCCTAGCCAAAAAAAAAAAGTCATACAGAGTGATGCTATTAGAAAAGGACTATTAGACTATTAGAAAAGGATGCTATTAGAAAGGAAAGTGAAAAGAATTGGAACTTGCCAGGGTCAGAATGATGTCTGTGGGAAAGGAAGGTCCTCAGCCCAAATCAGGACTGCATTCCATTGCTACATAGAGTAAAAAACATAAGAATTATAATATACAGGAATAAAGCAAAACTGATACATTTACTTAAGATATCACAGAACTAAAGGCGAACATTATATCCAGCTAGTTGCTGTTGGTGATTTATGAAAATGCACTTTTGCTTTTGAAAGAAAAAATGCGCTTTTGAAAGAACTCCCTCTGTCTGGGAGATATATAAGAGCATGAGATACATGCTCTTATGAGATAAATGGCAGGTGTAAAAGTAGAACACTGCATAAGGACAACGGTTGCTTCATGGCAGCAGCTGCAAGAATACTTCTAAGTGATGTGTGTGCTCAGAACCAGGGGAAGATTGCAGTGAACTAGCATCTGTGCTGAAAGTACTGGGGTCACAGACTGTATCCCCTCTGCTGCTTCTGAAGGAGATGGCACAGGGGTGCATCAGTGACAGGCTGCATAGACATACATATTTTAATCTCTAATAGAGGCCAAGTTCAGCTAATTGCCTGGCACTCTGAAAAAACGTTCTTCATGTTAGCACTTATTTCTGCCATTTCAATTATTTTTGTATTTCAGGTTATTCAAAAGGCAGTAATTGAAGTAGATGAGAAAGGAACTGAGGCAACTGCAGCTACTGGGTCAGAAGTAACTGCCTTCTCAGTACCTCCTGTCATTAAGGTGGACCGACCGTTCCTTTTTATGATATTTGAAGAAACTTTTAAAACATTACTGTTCATGGGTAGAGTGGTTGATCCAACAGAAATGTGAATAAAGGTAACAGTTTCTATGCTATGGTATACAACAGGCTTTATTTTTATTTTTTCAAACTGTTAATTTACATTAGAACAGAAAAGACAGTGAAATATAAAAATGTGAAAAGTTGTTATGCATCACAATCTAGCAGTAGGTCCTCCTATTAATATTTTATTAATGTCCAAGTCATAAGTTTGCTTCACTAAATGACCAACATTTGTTCAAAAGCCACTAATTATTTTCTAAGTTTTCTGAAGTCACTTCTAGCAGCAATCTATGAATTTAAAATTAGATTATGGGGTAAATTTAGAATTTTGTACTTTTACCACATAAAGGTATTGTATTTATATATGCAAGCTCGGCAAAATATCAGAGTTCAAATATATTCATCTTTTATTCATTTAATTCTCCACCAAAAAAGGAATCCATCACTTTTCACATACACATTTAAATAAAAAATAGATCCTTGGGGAAAAAAAAAAGTCATCATAAACAAAAATTCTTAAGACATTTCCATTTATTTTTAGTGGAATGAGAAAGTTACCTGTCAAAATGTGTCTTGTAAAACCTATTATGAACATTTCAGAAAAGCAAAGAATTTAATTCAATATTTTAGTGAGAAGTCTGAATGAAAACCAGATTCGTATGCCCAAACACTACAAGCTCATACGCAAGCACTGCAGTTTCGTGCTCCTCAAACTGTTGCAATTTTCTGTTGCAATGCAATTTAATGCCTACTGATATCAATCTTTATGGTCTTTTGCCACCTACAAAACCAGAAACAAGATCAAGCCCTAAAATAGAAGTTACAGTCTCTGACTGGAGATCTTCATATTACTACTTTTGAAGTTGTGCAGAAATTAATTCTGCATCTTTTAGGAGGGTGGCCTTCTTCCAAAGTGTCTAACTGGAGCATAAAGTCATCTAATTATCTCCGGGTACATGATGTGCCCATTTTTAAAATACTTTTCCCTGCATTGAAAGGGTATTTTTGAAAAACCATTTAGGTATCCTTTATCTAGAAAATCTGAACCTGTACTATTTCATAACAATAAGCTGTGCCTTTCCTAGAAACAGAATACCCACGTGTATTATCATTTTGAGAGCAGGAAGAATTACACAACAGGATTTTGCCTAAAAGACAGACTGTGGTAGGAAAATAACATGCCCACAGAAGGGGAACAAATCTATTCAGAGTTAAAGGAAAGCTACTTTCAAAACATTCCAGACAAATATGAACCGAAGAAGAATGTAAGAACCAAATGTAATTTTCTAGCACTGCAAGGATTTTAACACAAGTCCTAAAGGAAATGCCCATCTTCTAAAATTTAGTATATTTTTTAATTAAAAAGTGGGGTCCTATATCAGGTCTGAAACAATGCAAAAACTACTTCTGGCTATATAACTACAATATCCAAACGCTATTCTGCTTGCTTATATATCTTTCACAAAAGAGCTGCCCAAGAGGGGGCAGAAGAGTTTTTAAAATCATTTGGCACAGAAGCCTGCAAATGCAGACAGATGAAGCCACAATAGAGGAACTTTCCCAAGAAAATATACTTGCATTACAGGGTAAAATTGATAAACTTCAACAGCTCTAACATAATGACCTCAGTTACTATGAGAAGTCTACTCAGTGCAACCCAGACAGCGTGCAACAAAAGGACTTACCAGGTAGATTCTGGCATCAGAGCAGACCAAAAAAAGTGTCTAACCTAACTCCAGACTGCAGCATGACTGTTCCAAAAAGAAAAGTCACTTGTCCTGACAAAGAATCCTTAGTAGGAATAATCTCCAACTTGTTAGATTGAGTTGCAAGTAAAAATAATACTGGCAACAGAATTAACAGGGATGGATGCAAATAATAAGCAGCCAGATAAATGACTGTGGGATTGAAGATGTATAGTGCAAAGGACTGACAACTGTTTGTATTGGACATCAGGACCAGTGCATAAGGAAGATGTGTACACCAAGAAATGTCTAAATAAAGCATTTAAGAATTATATAATATGCTTTTAATATGTGGCTAGTGCTACTGAGTAGAGCATGGGTGATTACTATTAAATAAATCAATCAGTTACAATGTGATAGACAAATTACAACCAATAAGAAGTGCATGACAGACTGTATACAGAACTCAAAAGTTTCTGAACTTGCTACCTGCTCTGTGTTACTGCAGCAAGAGCACGAGTGCCAAACACAGGTTTGAGTCCAGTCCTGTAGAAAGATGTGATACTGATTGAGCTTGGTCACCTCAAGAAAGGTCACTGAGAACAGTCTAGGATGCTCTTGCAACCTGCGAGTGAGCTACTGTACCTGCTATACTGAATCAGTTGTCCCTGGGAAAACGGGAAGTATGTCTTCGTAAAAGAGACAAAGAAATAGAGATGTAAAGAGCCAGTACAGGAGGTTTGTATATCGGCATCAACATTGCATGTCAAAAATAATCATAACATTCAAAGATACTTTTAAAGAAATCTGTGCTTTACAGGATCCTATGCCAAGCTGCAAAACAAACACAGAAAGCTTGTGTTTCCACAGAACCCAAACAATGCCTGTGAACAGAGCCTACGACTACACCTATATCCAACTACAGTGTAACAAGGAAAACAATTCAGTGAGAAGCAATGCTAGATCCAAAGACACATTTTGTACTTCATACAAGACAGCATAAATCTAGCATTATTTAAAATAAATACCTTCTAAAGGTAAATGTCTTTATTTTAGTTATAAAATATGACTGAGAAAAAAATAGCTTTTTTCAAGAACATGCATGTACAGCATTGTCCTAGGTTTTATTTTGAGTAAATTCTTTTTTTTTACATTGTAAAAAGTAACCACACACCGCATATGCATTCACAAATCAGATCACCTTTATCATACACCAATAGATTTAAAAAACAGATATTTCTGAAATCAATATAGTTATGCTGCTTTCATTCTGAAATAGAGAAGCTGACAATAGCTTCATAGGCTCTTTCTTAAGTATTGGCATAAACAGAACTTAAAGAGAACTGCATGTTTTTCCACAAACAATTTTTGATAGAAACGTGAAGCATTAATGCAAACAAATGCAGATGACATTGCTGAAGCATGATAGCTTGGAATAACAGCTAATTAAAAACTGGTGTCTTCATTATAAATTATTAAAAGGACAATACAATCTGAAATACCAAAAATTAGAACAGATATTTATACAGCAAAACTTACGAAATAAAACTCTTTTCAAAATCATCTGGAGATAACTGCTTTCAGAATGGGTTGAGACTTATGAATTTTACTTATTACTTCTAAAAAGATAGCCTCTAAATTCACAGCACAATATTTCCAAAGTTTTTTTTTTTCAGCTTGATCAATGGAATTTTAGACTTAAATTAGATTTGAAGTTTCTTTAAAATGTGGGATTACTTTTTCATGTTTGTAGCAATTTATTTCTTGCACAAAGCATGGATGCTAAGAATTGCTAAAATTGTAAATACGACAAATTAGGTAATGGATACGTGTATTCAAAATCCAAGATTTTGAACTACAGAAGCATAATTGAAAAAAAAAAAATTGTCTCCATAGCTGCAGTAGTTAAGAGCACATTGCTAAAGTTATATTTCATAACATTTCACTACCACATTGGAATTCTGTAGCCATTACATTATTTATATGAACATATTTTACAACTTAGTATTTTATTTAAAAGTAAAAGGTTTTAACATTGCAAGATGCATTTAGTCACTCCAGGCATTAGAGAGTCCCGTCTGTTGCTCCTGACTTATCAGGCAAGAACGTTGCTTCCAGCTGTCTCCGATTTCTTCTTTTTCCTCTGTCAGAAGATCTAAGAGTTTGATTTTCTGTTTTTTCTTAATATAAAAGAAGAAATAAAATATGTTTTTGCTTTATTATTTGATAAATTTTATAATAAAGTGCTATTATGTGCAACATTTTATGGTAGAAGTTGGTTGGTCGCTCTACTTTTAAAAAATATACTAGCTGCTCTATTGTATCCACTAAAATCTAAACAAAACAAAACAAAAACCCCATCTTGAGGATGTTCTTCACAGAAAGGTGTATTTCTGCAGTAAGTTTGCTACAGAAGGTGGACTCCAAGGTAACGGCGAGATTCTCCTAACTGGGAGAGCTAAGGTACAAGAAGTTTAATTCTAGCTAGACTTAATGACACAAGTTTTCAGCCTTCACAAAAAAATGACAAAATTTTGGGAAAGTTGAGAAGGGGAGAAGAAATTTAGATGTCCTTACAATGTTATTTCAAACTCTTCTAATGACTATAATGTGATCTGGGCAATTTCCACACTTCTTATAGCCCTAATCTTTTAATCTTTAAAAACTCTGTTGCTCAATTTTGCAGACTTATGGCTATATCAACCAACCGATTTTCATAATGGTCAGAGATGTTTTGAAGAACATCACTTACTTCCAGAACTTTCTGGAAGTAGTTTTTCATCCATATTTTAGAATATGACTTACTGTTCCATTTCACCACTAAAAAAATTGCTGATGGATTCTATTGTGGCAAGATACCAGCAAAAAGCATCTGTCAACTTCAGCTTGGAAATGGGATCCGAATCCCATTTCACTCTCACTGGATTTCTGAACTCTTACCAACTTAAGCGGCAGGAGGAAAACATGGTTAGAACCTTAAGTAAACAGGTCAGAGCAGAGCAGATCTGTGGCAAAACACATTTTGGGCTCAACTTCCTAAACAATTATATGACTGAAGGAAAGACGCTATTTAAAGAGAGACACTTATGCAAATAATTCTTACAACGTTAGTCACACATCAACACAGATATATTAAAGATCAGTTGTGTCACCTTATAAAATATTGTGAATTATATCATCAAAAAATTGATCTCAATGCCACAGTAAATCTACTCCCACTTTTTATGGGATGGAGCCCCTCATTCTTGAGGTTAACTTGGATTGTCCTGGTTTTAATTGAAATAAAATATGGCATTATCTTAATTTTTTAAATGCTATTTATAAAGTTGGATATCTTTAATGATAAACTTATAAAATATATAAAAATTCATACAGGAGAAAATATATACTGGAATCAGTTATAGTAATGTAAAATAAAAAAAATAGTACTTCTTATTCCAAAATAAAGTATCTTAATCTCTTAAAAATGAAAATGTAAAGTAATAAAGCTAAAAGTCATAACAATAAAAGATTGGACTACTTTATGGAACTCTTAATATTTATGAACCATGCCAATTTCTGCCCATGATGATCCATGGGCTAACACAATGAACTCTAACAGAAAGTCAGATCAGTACAGGCTTTCTCTGAAGGTTAAGCAAAGTCTCTTGTGGGATGAAATATTTATCCAGTGTTCTTTTGACTCTATCATATTCTATAATGTGCTTAAAAGCAGATGCTCATCTCTTCTGTGATTACACCATTAAGTTATAAAGGTGAAACTGCAGTATAATTTCTGCATTTTCTAATTCCTATTTTTCTATGTAAAGTCTATTAAATCACACCAAAGGTAAAGGTCATTTTCCTGTTATTTGCTTGTGAGCACTGAAACAGGCTTTAATAAGGGTTTTTTTTTTTTCCCCTCCCTATATATTATTTTAAAAATGAGGGAATATTTTAATCTCCATACATATCTCTGTCAAATAACAAGCAACATATTTGAATTCATGAATATGGTTAGTATAAACCTGAGTTCAGCTCCAAATTTACTTGGCTTTTGGAAAGTTCCTGGAACAGCAAGCATATTAAAAGAATAAGACAAAAAAGGTTCATTTCTATAAACTGCATCACACTGCCAAATGTGAACAAATGTGCACATGCACCAGAGCACTTTTATTGAAAAAAAAAGTAGATTTAGACAATTAACTATTAGTAGGTCAAAACATGCATCACTTTCAACTATAAATCATTAATAATGTTATTACCATTTATTTATTAATGAGATATTATTACATAACTTATATTATTTACAGACATAGTATTGCATGGAAAACTATACTAGAAGTTATCTTATTTTTTTGGTAAAGCAAATAAATTAAAAGCTTGTACTTTCCAGAATTTAGAAGGCCAGTGCAATATTTAATCAGCATATACTCAAATTTACATGATAATATAGTCTAAATACAGGCTCAATATTTTTTCTACACAAGTATCTGCCTTACTGAGTGCAGAAAAGGTGACACCCATATCTATTCAGTAACAGCTCTTCACTTTTCAAAATATGTTTCAAGTGATATTTCTTGTATAATTTTCAAATTCTGCTCTCAATAAGAGTTGTATCTGCCAATTGTTTAAATATTTGGATACTGAATTTTTCTTTCACTCATTGAAGTTGCACAGAAGTGGTTTCTCTCTCTTTTTTATGAGGACATAAAAATTTCAGGAAAGCTTTTGCAAAATAAACTTTCTCAGAATGTGGACTGAAGTTCTGATCAAAAGAGTTGAAAAGAGGTACATGAAACCTTATTTGTAGTCAAAAATAGTATGTAACTGAATGTATTGGCCACTGACTATTCCTAAAATCAGTATCTCTAGATCTCTTAGTATCACCATGTAGAGCTGCTCCTTTATTTTATTTTATTTTATTTTATTTTATTTTATTTTATTTTATTTTATTTTATAGAAACAAGTACGTACAGGCCAGGTTACAAAAGAGAATTTGAATCTATAGTGCAACAGGCAATATATCAACTTGGGAGGTATGTTTTCCCATAAGAACAGGGAACATTAAAACTCCTATTTTCAAAGCTAAATATAGGTCATTCTAAACCTGCTCTCCTTATTCCAAAAACGTTTTCTTTCCCCTGGTGTATCTTCTTGGCTTCTGACACCAGGCAGTTTAGGAATTTTCCCACATATAGAGAGCACCTCGATCACTGTGTTTAACTATTTTAAAGTTGATATATGATTAAAATTTTCATTTAGGAATACTGCACAGAGGCTTGAAACTGGGTCTCCTACATTTCACTCTCCTGCCTGAAGCCAAAGGTACAGATTGTGCTCTCTGGATCTTCTTTCTGTCCCTTTATAGTCAAACAAAAAACATATCTCAGTTTCATTTAACTGGCAGATGGTAAAAATTTTGAAATACAGACATGTTTTATGAAATTGAAAAAGAATGTCTAATCTATTTTATGAATATTAATTGATTTGTTTAAAAAAAAGTAGAACTTTTGGTTTAAACAGACAGAATAGAGAATACAACATTCATTCAAATCTGCTTGTCCCAAACAGTCTCCCTCTCTTTCTATATTTGGCTCTTTTATCCATTCTATATTATCTATACAAGTAAATCATTGAGAACACAGAAAAGTCTTCGTCTGGGCAGCTGAAATTACAGGTTGTCAGCAACTCAGGACTAGAAGCTATAGCGGAAAAGGAATCTGAAGGGAATTATGTGTAAAGTCTACAGAGCTTTAACTAACTACACTGTACAGAAACATATGTCTAAAAAGCTTAATGCAAGGCAAAGAAGACAACCTTACTAAAAAAAAATCCAAACTACCAGTTCATCATAATTCTCAAAAATTCATCATGAAATTGATACGTACTAATTCATAAAAATATATTAACACATAAAATGAAGAGAAAAGGAAAAAAAGGAAATTAAATTAAATCTAACAATACTTACCTTTTATTCCCTTAGCTATGGACAGATAAATCACAGTGACTGCTGTTATTGTTTATCAAATGCCTTCACTTTGTCCCCTCTAACCCTCCCCATAATATACCAGCTGAATCTGAACATAAGCAGAGGAAACAGAATGTGAAAGACTAATTAAAAGGGAACATAATGCAATCTTAAAAGAAAATTGTAATTCAACACATCACATTTCCACCCCACTGCTTTTGTATTTCAAAATCTGGGCATAGAAGTATCATAAATATGGGCTTCATTTTACAGAGTTCTTAACAGTTCCTTTTAAGATGTATGCATTGTTTTAACCCTTTGTCATCCACTTACATGCTCATCTTTCGTGAGTGACTGTCTTTATTTCCGTTGTTCTTTTGGTCAGACGAGTTAGCTGAGTTGCGAGAAGAAGCTGCGAGGGAGGAGCTGGAAGGGAAGGCGGTATTCCCATTATTACCAGTGGAACGAGTCCGGAATGAATCATCTGAAAAAGAGTTACATCTTAGACAAATTTATCTGAAAAAAATATATGTAGAACGAACAGAATAACCGGCCTTTTTTTTTTATTATTATTGCATAATGCTTAGAATTTAGCTTTCTATAAGGCAATTTTTAACTTTTAACTTAATACTTCTCAAAACCTATCTATGAAAAATGCTAAATAAAAATATTTAGAATACACACTATTTGGGAGAAAATATGCACATACTTTAACATATGAAAAAAGTGAATTTGGTCAGTCTTCAGCGACTTAAAAAATGAGCTATTCAGTCCACACTACCTTTCAAATATCTACTGATACCAAATGGAAACGTAGCAAACGTGTTACTCTAGAAAGCAGTTCACCTCGTTCTAATCTTTAGCATAAACTAATCATTCACACTCCTCTACAATCAATGGAGAGAGACAGACTTTTCCACACAGCAGTTTCTCTCCCCCAACTTAGGATATGGTGTAAATGATTGTAAATGTTAAATGACGTAAATGTTAAAAATCTATATCCAAAATGCCAGTAAACTCATTCCAAATTCATGTTTATGTAAAGATTTATTTGAAAGTAATCAAGAGAAATTTTAACTTTAAGTTTTAAAGTTAAAAAAAATATATATGTGTAAAACAAAACAAAAAATTGGAGGGAATAACACTTTGAGTGCTCAAACATATTTGATAGCTCTTCATAGTATTGCTTCAGAAATATCCTATCTTTTACTATGCCTGGTTAATGGCACCTCATATTCAGTCAAAAGAAACTAGTTGCACGGTGCGGTGGATCGAGGGCTGGCTGGATGGCAGAGCTCAGAGGGTGGTCATAAATGGGGCCGAGTCCAGTTGGAGGCCTGTGGCCAGTGGTGTCCCCCAGGGGTCAGTACTGGGCCCAGTGCTGTTCAACTTGTTCATCAATGACCTGGACGAGGGCACGGAATGCACCCTGAGCAAGTTTGCGGATGACACCAAGCTGGGTGGAGTGGCCGACACTCCGGAGGGCTGTGCTGCCATCCAGAGGGACCTGGACAGGCTGGAGAGCTGGGCAGAGAGGAACCTCATGAGGTTCAATAAGGACAAGTGCAGGGTCCTGCACCTGGGGAGGAATAACCCCAGGCATCAGTACAGATTAGGGGTTGACCTGCTGGAAAGCACCTCCACGGAGAGGGACCTGGGAGTCCTGGTTGACACTAAGTTAACCATGAGTGAGCAGTGTGCCCTCGTGGCCAAGAAGGCCAATGGCATCCTGGCCTGCATCAGGAGGAGTGTTGCCAGCAGGTCAAGGGAGGTGATTCTGCCCCTCTACTCAGCTCTGGTGAGGCCGCACCTGGAGTACTGTGTGCAGTTCTGGGCACCCCAGTATAGGAGGGACGTGGAGCTTCTGGAGAGGGTCTAGAGAAGGGCAACCAGGATGATTAAGGGAATGGAACATCTCTCGTATGAAGAGAGGCTGAGTGAGCTGGGCCTGTTTTCTCTGGAGAAGAGACGGCTCAGAGGGGATATGATTAATATGTATAAGTTCAGGAAGGGAGAATGCAGGGAGGAAGGGGACAGGCTGTTCTCACTGGTGGCCAGCGACAGGACGAGGGGTAATGGCCACAAGCTGAAGCATAAGTTCCGTCTCCAGGTGAGGAGCAACTTCTTTACTGTTAGGGTGACAGAGCAGTGGAACAGGCTGCCCAGGGAGGTTGTGGAGTCTCCTACTCTGGAGGTCTTCAAAACCCGCCTGGATGCCACCCTGTGCCACATGCTCTAGGTGTGCCTGCTTGAGCAGGAAGGTTGGACTAGATGATCTCTAGAGGTCCCTTCCAACCTTAAATATTCTGTGAATCTGTGAATCTGTAGTGCACAAAATACCATAATAGCCTACTTACCACTAAAAGATAACACAGAACTCTTTCCCATTCCTGACACAGATGATGTATAACCTGAAGCAGCACTTCTACTTTAAAAAATAAAACATAAATAATAAACTGCTTATTATAAAAATGTTATTTTAAATTATTTAGTTTTACATTCTACTATTTGATAACATCAGAGCTTCTGAATTTATGACTAAATTGCAAAAATTATGACCATATTTCTTTAAGACATGTAAAATTCAGACCCCAAGTTCATGTTGAAAAAAAGAAATAATATATAATAAAAGGTGACATATGTTAACATAACAAGTATTCAGAAGAATATATTGACTTCAGTGGAATTGCTTCCCTCAGTGCAAAACTGTAAGCCTTGTCCAATTAAACAGAAAGCTGAAAATTTAGGCCACAATTCAGTGAGCATGTTACTACTTATACAGATTCCCAAGGTTATCTATTAGATAAGCAATTAAAATGATAAAGATACTTAGGACACTTGTCTATGTTGCTGTATTTTGGATGCAGTGCTTGAGTACTGAACGACTGGCTTCGAACCAACTTGGATTTCTTGACTTCTTTGCCTAAAATATATTAGTAGCAAAAATTTATAATATGGAAATCATTACACATCCTCAGTAATTATGAATATCTTTTAGCATCACTTATTGCTCTACACTGCTAAATGAAGTTACAAGTATAATAACAACAAAAAATATTCTTTGTGCTACCTGTTATCTGAAAGAACAGAACAAAATCAAAGAAAATGCATTCAGTTCTTAGAATGAATCTTTTTCATCTGTATATGAGGCGAAACTGCCTCACAAGAGCTAAATGGATTTTAAGCTTCCTGGATTTTAAAATACATATGTAAGATGAAAGTATTCTAGTAGAATTTTTAAGAAATTCTTACCTGTTGATGTACCACTAGAAGAGCTTCCAGGAAAAGAAAGAGGTACATTTTTTGCCAATGCTGATGATGTTTTACTGTCTCTACCTAAAAAAAAATCCAATATAAATAACGCTTCTGTTAAATAGCTTAACTTCAAATAAAGGAATATAGCATAAGTCCTGGGTTAAACAGTTAAACAGTCTAATCCAGTCCTACGAGCACTACAGAATTATCACAAACTACATTGTGGCCCAACAGGAAAAAAATATAGATCCAAAACTAACAGTACTTTATAGAAATAAAATTTTCTATTTATATAGAAATACAAAAGTCTTCTTTCTAATATACGAAGGCCAGCTTTCACAATCACAATTAGAAATAAAGTTTAAAAGTGTTGTCACTTTATTAAACTCTGGTATTAACTGCAAGAACAGTGTCTGTGTTCTGCTCCCTTCTTTCCCTTTCCAAGCTTAAGAATAACCCACGTGCCACAAATATGCACATAAGTATGTAAACTTACGCTTTTTTTCAAACATTTTATCACTCATATTTGTGGCTCTTCCTTCATTTTGCTGCTTCTCTTTTTCTAATTGTTCCTATAAAAAAAAGGCATTTCAAACAGATCAGAAATTTTCAAACAAGAACATACCTCCAACCCACCAAAATACAGTTAACTTTTACTCTCATCTCTAATAGTAATTTGAGCTAAGTTTAATAAGTAACCAGAGACCTAATTAAATAATATTGCATTAAACAAGGGTACATATGCCATACAAAAGTCATACTGAAAAATATTCATGTTATTTGTGAAGGAACCTCAGAGTTAAAGTTGTCATTTATAACATTTACTAATAAAATAGTAAAGTTAAATCTGGAAGAATGGCAGAAGATATTATTCTTCTTTTGAATAGGGGATGAGAGGTGGAGGGGAAAGAGGAGAGGACTTTAAAAGACATTCAAGTCATTTCAAGTCAAATTAGTGGCTGACAATCCAATTATTTTGTTATACAGCTGCTCTGATAGCAGAAGATAAACAGAATGTCAGATGGGGCTAAGAAGAGGCACAAAGACACAAGATTAACAGAAATATGTTATATTTTTAATTCAAATGTACAATTTAATGAAATTTTTTTCCCAAGTGCTTTTGCTTATCACATTTGCTCAAGCGCATTCAAGCTCTAAAATTAACCTCTGGAGTTGTTAAGTCTTCATGGAAAACAAAGTCAAGTATTATTTTCTTCAATTTTAAGAAATTTATTTGCCTTTCTGTAATACGAGGTAGATTTAAAATACCTTCTATTAGCATGCTCATAGCCCAAAGACTGTATTAGTACATCTGCATCAATAACTTTAAGAAGTTTTAAGCTTCTTTATGAATAGGTATCACTCAAATACCAAAAAGTTAAATATTAGCTTGCTTTCCGTGCCACAGTCATAACAAAATGTGCTGAGAGTACCCAAGCTGTTCCACTATACTCTTCATTTCACTCTAATTAATACCTACTAAATAAGAAAAGAGGTAACTATTTCAGGTCAAGGTTGCTGAAATACAGTTTCTACTATGTCAATTACTAAAATTAAGGAAACTCATTAACACATCTGACATGACCAGTCAGATACAGCTAACTGGCTTCAATTGTACTCATCAATTTGGGACAACATGTCACATTTTTTTTCTATATATCTCCAGGTCCACAAAAGCATGTCTCCAACAGGCAGTGTTTAACATAGTCTTTATGACACACATGAGATGCCCATATCAGTGTGATACATCACAGAAGTACAGGAGTTCATTTAAACTTTAGGTGTAGAATTAGGGTGAAAAATGTTATCTAACAGATTCCAGAACTAGTGTTAACTTGTGCATCTTGCACAACATAGCTCCCCTGGGAATGTTTCACTGCATTCCTGGCTGCTTTTGCTATAAAAACATTATCTATACCTACCTAAAAATTGCAGAACCTTCAAGTGTTTGAATCTGCATGCAGTGGCAGAGAACAAAGGTTGAATCTCTGTCTTGAAACACTGGTTGATGACAAGACGTAATCAAGGCAGAGGTAGGTTAGTGTGCACTTCTGGCTAGATAAGGCCCTCAGTAACCTGTTCCAGTTTAGCTTGCTTTGAGTAGGAAGGCTGAATTGAATGACCTTGAGGGGTCTCTTCCAAGCTTAATTATTCTATCATTCTGGCAAGGTACAACTCAAAGGTGAACTACAGAGCTCTAACAACTTGACACTGACCATAGATTCATACAAAATAGATCCAGCACTAAAGACAGAGTTGAACAGATTGCGGAATTTGATAAGCTATGTGGAGGAAATCTCACAGGGGAACATAGACTTTTAAGGGAACTTATCTAATTCCCATGTCACAGATGGCTCCTGCTCTACAGTCCCAATTGCTAGAAAATTGCGAAGAAGAAGATGATGACTGACTCAAGTACACATCTGAGAAAGCAGAACAGTAAAACAGCTCAGGGTTAAAATGAGAGTTCTGATGCATTCCCAGATGTATGGGCCTGAACAAATATATTTTCTGCTTTGGAAGTCAGGTACCCCAGGAACACTGTCACTCATGCTTAGCAGGTGGAGAAGTCTGAAAGGTTGCTTGAACTTGTGAAAGAAGACACTATGAAATAAGAAAATCAACAGCCTCCAAGAAATTGTTCTGGGATACCAATTGATACGAAAGAGAGCTGCATATACAGTTTCTGTAGCAGTCCTGCAAAGGAAATGACATTTTTCCTCAGATAGTCTTGAACTTGTAAGAGTTGTCCTGCTACAAATCAGAGGAATTGTGCTAGCATAATCTACCCTTTTCTAAAGGCCATTAGGTTCTCAGCTTCTCACGCATTAGCCTATAGAGGAGGAAGAACAAAAAATTGCACATTTTGAAAGGTGCTGCAAGCTGTGATGAACTGTTTGCTGCAGCTTTTGCTTGCGGCCCTGACTGCTAGCGGCCCTGACTGATGATAAATAGCTTTTCGAGTTGGAAAAGCAAAGAAACATTAGCATTCTGCAGACTTCTCTTCCAAGTCTTAGCTATTTTGCAGTTCCTTTTGCTCTGTGAAGACTACATTAAGACTCCAGGCTGCAGTGGCCTCTTTCCTCTCATTCTCTTCTTATTTAACAGGAAAGTCTGTAACACACACACAATCTTCAGATCGCTTGACACAAAAGAATTTAAGACAGTAGTTTCTTCCCCTATAGAAGTTGCATGTGAATTCTCAGAAGTTTAACTATTCGACTCATTATGTCACAAAGGTCTAGCAAGCTGCTAAGCTCCCTCAAAAAAAAAAAAAAAAAAAAACCACAAATATTTTTGATTTTTAGAGCTATAGAGGAGTCAAGTGAGAAAAATCTTGTAAGAAATTCCAGTTTGCCTTTCCATCACATTTCCAGCACATTTAGGTAGAAGAAAAATTATATGTTACTTTGAAGGAGTTAACTCTACTGTAAAATAAAATCAGATACTGTTTATAAATTCACCAAACTCTTCCATTGTATGCACTTCCCTTATTTCCCTATTGATATTAAGCTATTAATTAAAACCATTAATCAAAACATGATGGAATGTACTGATAAAATATACCATTTCCAGAAGGAGAAGTTCTTGTCTCTCTTTTTCTTGGTCCAATAAATCATTTTCATAAAATCTTTTCTGAAACTTCAGAATAAAATTAATAAAAACAAATATGATTACATGAAAATAGGAATTAAAAGTGCTTAGCAAATGTTAAGGCTAGTAAATACTTACACCATCTACAGTGATCTCCATTCTGTCCAGTTCTAACACTGTCTATAAAAAATTAAAATAGTATTTATCCTTAGTCAATAGCATGCCACAATTTTAGTTAAAATCCTGACAGGATAAGAAAGCTTAGAAGAGTGATATTTTCCTTTGTTTTCTCCTCTAAACTTTTGAATCCCATGCTTGTATTACTGTCTTATTAATGCTTAAAGCTAACAACTGTCAAAGAACATTCTCAGAGCCCCACTAAGACTCACAGTGAAGGATTAATAGACCATTTATATGCAACTTAAAATACACTCAAAGAGAGCTTGGGCTGAAACATGGACCTGGGAAATAAGTATTCTTGGTCATGTGGACATCCAATCCCTCTTAATTACTTCCCCTATCAGGAAGCCAGCTACTTTACTTCATGACATCTTTGAGACCAAACATGGACATTTCTTAGAGATAAATCTTTTTCAGAATATCCACATCATAGAGTTGCTGTAACGCTTCAAAATCCTGTGTATGTAAAACAAGGAAATACCAATTCTATCAGTGCACTATATGTTAATTGTCCAAAATTACAAATAAATATCAACAGAAAGCATAACTTTGACAATCCTAAATTTTAATGTTAATTCCAATACAAAGTGTTGCTGGAAAGGAAAAATGCTTACTCTTTTTACAATAGTCAGCACATCTTTGTCTTTCTCTTGACACAAAAGTTTCCTTATACACAATTCCAGTTGCTGAAGTAAAAGTTTGTCAGTGGGAATCTTCAAAGTAGATTTAACTTTTGGCAACAAGTAGCACAGCTTCATTCTATCAAAAAAAAAAAAAAAAAAAAGTAAAAATTCAACTTGTGATGCGTTATTTGTATAATTACTTTTTTTATTGCATACTAGCAATTTGATTTAACAAAAGAACTAAAAATTTAAGATGACAAGCCATGTAATCAGCAGGGATTATCGGTATTATTTAGGGAATTATTTTTAAATTGTTAAATGTTATTTTCAAAATAATCAGATTAGATAAGTTAATTTCAAAATAATAATAGATTTTCAAAAGGATCTACATAACTAACTCCTTTGGGTACCCTGAACACTTTTGAAATGTGGTTTATCGGTACACAAGAACCTCATGCCTGAACATGTATGTAGTGAAAGTAGTTGCACACAATTACAAAGATGAAGTTGCATCAGACAGACTAAACTAAACTGTTTAATGGCTCCAAAACGAATCAAGTCTGCTTTCTTCTACCCTGTCTTCCTGGTTTTGACTGCAGATTCCTTTGCTCATCTAGTTTTCTTCCCTGGTACTGCCTGAACCTTTCATTAGCTGACTAAATCTAGTCTGGATTTTAATGCACATCATGTATGTGCAAACAGTTCCAAAAAAATGCATGCACAGCTCTTTTACAATGCTAAAACCTAAAATTCTTCACGGATTAAACAAAATATTTCACACATTTATGAAAATAAAAATTGCTGCATTTGATCAAACTGCAATATCATCTAATAGTGAATACTAAGAAAAGATTACAATATATTTACATAAATGTGGTAATATTTCCCTATTACATCGGTTTGTGTCTGGAGTTTTGGAGATTTCCTGTGTCAGAGGTGATAGTTTTGTCTTTAATAATTGTAAAAAGATTTATTCAAAATTTGTCTGACTGCTTTTTGTACTTGTAAAATGCTTTAGCCTTCACAACATTCATACTACAGAGTCATACCATTCTGCAGAAAGATGGAGTAGTAATTTCCTAAATGTGTTTTAAAATCATCAGCTAATATCTAGGACTGACTTTTTCAGCTAACCCCATTACTAAAATGTACATTTTTTTAAGGGATAATAAAAACAAAAAAGTTAGAGAGCAATTCAGAAAATAATTGATAAAAAAGGACAAAAATACAATACCAGTTATTTCTAACTTTAAACTAAATTTTAATATCATGTCAATAAGCTTTTCAATTAAAAAGTTTATAAGATGTAATCAACTACTACTATTTATTACTACCATAATTCATATGTAATGATTTACATTATCCATAACACCATTATCCATAATAATGGATTACTACCATTTATTTCATTGTTTTATTATGATCCTTTTAGAATGATGACATGAGATATGAATATTATCATATAAGTACAAAGTGACTCAAAATAGTTTGGGTTCTTCTTGAAGTAAGTTGTTCTTTATACTCAGTCTCTTTAAGTACTGTTTAACTTAGTAATAAACTGTAAATACTGACACTAATGCACACATCTGTGTGCAAATTATGCTTGTGTAAACTGCAATGCAGCATCTGTATTATATATTTAGATATCTAAATGATGAGGGGATAAATTATACATGTCAGAAGATAAAAGATTAAAAAGACATTTTTCTGATTGCAGTTATTACCAAACAATCTGTTCCCAATGTATTTACCTAAGAAAATAGTCACTACAAAAATAAAGGAAATACAAAGAATGGATAAATATTGGATAAAAATTTTTATCATTATAAAAATAAATAACAATCATGTATAAAGAAGAATAACAGACTAATATATTCTTCAATTATTTTTCAGGGTTTTTTAATGAAGTAGGAAAGGGTGAAAACATAAAAAGTTTGCTAATTTGTTAAGGTCTGACCACTGAACTACCTATGTATTAAATTTCATGCAATATGATGTTGAAATGGATTAACAGAGCATGGAATGTGCGACTCCTTCAACTCATGAAACTGTGGTACTTTCTTCTAACCTATTGCTAATTCTTATACACATGCACTCCTTTATTGTAACTCCACACCTTTGACAAATCCCCCAAACAGCATCCTACACCCAAACTGACCGATTCTCTTATTTTCCATCATCATAACCCTAGCGCACTGCATGTTCAATATGGGCATGGTGGAGTTTTGGTGACTTCCAGATGAATCAGCTCCTTTTTATCAGGTAACCAGCTGCTGCTCTTTCCCAAGCTCCTATATTCCCAGCCTCAGCAGGGAGTTCCGCATTTCCTTTACTCTGTGCTCAGAGGTTTTCTACCACCTCTAGTGAGAAGCACTGAATCATAGGGGTAGTAATTCATAACAAGAGACACAATGTCATTTGAGGAGACACGCTATTTCCTTTGCTACTCTTCTCCTTTCCTTTTGATGATTATAATGTTCAGGATCAGGTCTCTGCAGCAGAAGTCCTCTGACACAGCACTTCCCAAAGCTCCGAAATCTGCTTAGGAAAGCTCACAAACCCCAAACTGGCGATGCAAAGAGTCAGGGTTATTCAGAGAGTCTCTCTCTCTCGTGGGAGCTGCGTACTTCTCACTTTGCATTCCTCCTATGTTCAGAATGAGCACTAGTGAGTCCTGCATCCATGTCCATTTCTCTAACCCTGTACCTCTCGTGAACCTAGTCGAAAGTTTTAACCAACTAAAGCCTTTGCATGTGTCAAACATTTTTAAAAAATTCTGTTTTACATTTGTCAAACAATTATCAAACAGATAAAGCAAAAGTAACTTTCTTACCCTATTTTTCTGCAGAATTATAATTTTAATCTCTCTTACTGACAATAAAAAGTCATAATTGTTTTTTACTTTTAGGACACTTTTTGAACAACGGGAAAAATTTTCCCTTCCGAAATGCTTTGCAGATACTAAGCACGAGAAATCTTAAGAGAAATTTTACATGCACTTTTAAAAAATTTTGTGGGGAAAACAAATTAATGTCACATATTTGACTACTATTTACTATTATGCTAGCATTCATTGGTACACTTTTAGGCAATTTTTCTCCAGAGGTCATGGCCTCTTTTACACTCTTGGTACAGACCTCACATTTGCTACTGGATCATGTGTAAGCTCCAGCACAGGTAGAAAGAAGTATTTACAGAAGAATGATTTGGAGAACAGTTCCATAATGAATTCACAGGTATCTAAAAAACGAAGTCTGTTCCAGTAACTTTTTCCTTGGCCCAGTTCTGAAAAATAACGATACACATGTCTTACCTATAAAAGTTTTCACTGTCAGTTAGAAAGCACTACAAAGGTTAACTTTTGACTGAAACATAATACTCATACTTGTCACAAGATGCATTTCAAATCTTCCCTTAGGTGGAAGCCTAAGCCCAATGAATTTAGTAGGCATTTTTGACAGTGACTGTAAGAGGGCAAGAAACTCAACCCCTGCCACTTCAACCATTCAAAAAAAAATCCAAAATAGTCAGTGAACTATCTAAAATCTTGAACATACCCCTGTGTGCCTTTCAAATCATGTCACAGGTGCATTAAAACAATTATGTGCTCGGTAATGATTCTTAATGAGCACCTTTCAATCCTCCAAATTTTTTTAGAACATATGGCACAGGCTGGAAAGTCAACTTGGAGACTTCTGATGTATTCCTCACATATTCTGACTGGCAAGCCAGATGAATGGAGCTGGAGGGCTGCTAACCATAATCCTGCGACTGGTGGTGGGGAGTTTATGGCTAATAAATATAACCATAATGACATCTTCAGTCAAAAGTAACTGGCTTCTCTAAGCAAAGAAAGAAAGAATATCTTACGTTCAATAAGTTTCTGAATGACCTCATGCCTCTGTTCTTGTTTGCGATTATAACGTAAGTAAACACAGAGAGTTCGAGCAGCTGCTTTTTGGACTGGCAAGACATTCTTGAAAGAAATAAAGGAAATACAATTAAACATAACTAAAAGAACGTGATTTAAAATGTATACAATTTATGAAGTAGAAAAATAGCTGAAAATTAGCATTTATAAATTCTGAAAATAAAAAAAATGTGTTATCAGATTAGCAAAATGAAAAATCTAAGTATGTGTAGGCATTAGCACACTGTAAATCAAAGTAGAAAAAAGGTATAAATATTAAAATTTAATTTGCTTAAGAACTCAAATTTTAAAATACTTTATTTATTAAAAAAAATAAAGACTAAATTCTAGTGATTTCAGGTGCTTAAGAATTAAAAATTGAGCGAGTTATTTTGAAGAAGTATACTCTGCACTTAAACCAGAGGCATTTACCTGCACTTTAACACTACATATTCATCCTTACTAATGACTCAAAATGGGTTGCTAGGAAATTTTTCTTTTCTAGTAATACTCCCTACCCTACTCTCCACATTTCAAAATTAATAGATATCATAGATTCAAAAATATTTCATGTTTATTCTGTAGTTTATCTGCAAATATAGTCAGAAAACATTATATTGTTACTTTCTCCAAACTTCTGTTAAATTATAGATTTACGGCTGCCAGGAACTGTTTCATTTGCAGATATAACTACTTGTAAAGTGCTCGCTGCCTAGAAATTTGCCCCTGAAGTGTTTAACATTTGCATGTTTCATTCAAACACCTTGTATAACATATTCTTTTTCCTTAATTTTATTGTCAACAATGCTATATTGCTATACCCAAAAGAAAGACCATGACTTATCACAGAAAAATATTAACCTGCCAAGCAGACTAGAAGAATAGAGTATTAGTCACCTAAAATACAATTCACATGAGGCACAGCAAGAACCTATGTTTTAAGAGAAGAGCTATCAAGAAAAAAAAAATGCATTTTATTCTGGTGTGTATCAGCATTTAAAGTTTCTACTCTAATGCAAAAAACACAGTGATGGAGCTTATATCAACACAGGATATTATGCATTCACTTTTTAATTCAAATACACTAAAGTAAAAAACATTCAGTGCTATTTAAGAATTTCAAGGAAATATATTTAAGTTAAATTTATATTTTAACTGTCAGCTACTATTTCTACTGATAAAAGGGAATTCTAATTCTTCTTTTTATGCCTTCACTCATACAAGAGCAAAACTCTATTTAAGCATTACTCTAACACATCTCAGAATAACACTAGCATATGTGCATGGAGAATAAGGAAGTTTAACCAATTCACAGATCATTCATTTCTTTATTGCATTCATCTTTAGAATTAAAAACTATTAAAATTCATCTTTAGAATTAAAAACTATTAAAAACTATTAAAAACTAACTTTAAAAATTAAAAACTAACTTTAGAATTAAAAACTATTAAAAACTATTAAAAAATATTTCATAAAGAATGGAATACCATGCAAGGTAATCCTCCAAGGTAAACCTTAGAATAAGGAGAGGGAAAAAAAAAAAAAAGCATTCCTCTCAGAGGAAATGATTTTGATTTACCTAAAAATAAACTGATAAAAAATTTAAAAAAAAAAAAAGTGTAGCAAACTCTGCTCTTCAAATGGAGAAACATTCTCAGAGCTCTTTTTCAATCTTACACAAAGAAAAAGAACATACTGATACAAGATATACAATGAGAAGCATTATTTATACGTTACATATCAATCTGAAAGTAGTGCAACACATATCAGATAACTGATGCTAACTTTGCTAAAATATCATGAACAATAGAAAAGAGACACGAAGGCTCACGTTTGTCAAAATGATTGTCAACATTCTATGAAGAAAACGATAATAAATCTGATCACTTGATATGATATGAGGGAGACAGGCATATTTTTGTAGTAACTTCTCGTGTGTTCTCCATTTTAAAGAAGTTGCTGCTCTCTGTTCTGCTGTTGTTAATGCAGGTATCAGGTCAGGGATAGACAATAACTAGAAATAAAAATATAAGCATTAAAATAATTGTACATCTCCAACCTGTCTGTCACATTACTATGATTAAAAAAAAAAGTCACGGGAGTGCAAGGAGGGAAGAGATTATAAGCAATTGGTTAACTAACTGGTCTATTTAAATAGGATCAATTACACTTAGTCTAACTTGCTCTTAAAAAAAAGTCTGATGATTGAGATATACAATCTCCTCTAAATTGTTTATATGATTAACTAGTCAAAAAGCTTTTCCAGTATCCAATTCGTTATATCTCCACTTCCTGTTAGGATGATTCTTTCTTATCCAACCTCTTTGCCAGACAATGAAAAGCTACTGTATGTAGACCACTACCATATCCCTCTTTGGGCTTCTTTCTCAAACCAAGAAAGATTCTTTTTTCCTCTTTAATTTAAAATGGAAAACATCTGACCTATTTTCATGTTAAGATGACTGAATTTTGTCCATATAAAAAAGTCTTTGGAATATCTGATACCTCTACACATAGCAAGCTCCAGTAAAAGCAGCATCTAGAGACTGGGAATGATCTTATAAAAGTTGCATTTTACAGCTGAGAAAATGCAGTTATTGAGAAAATGGAGTCACCAAATAAAATGGCATCCACAGCCACACACAAATATTAGCAAAGCTGAGAACTGTATCTCCCAAGTCCTAATTCAGCTCCCTAACCTTAAGAATGGCACTTCTTCCTAACAGAAATTAGGTATGAAAGTAACATCTGATGACGGTTTGGTATTTATAATCACTTCTCAAGTATGGAACCAATTTAAAAAAAAAAATCCAAAAAAACCCACTATTTGCATTTAATTTGATTTTCAACTTGATTTTCTAAATCTGACCTACTTAGCCACTTCAGAATTAATCAGAAAAAAAGAACACAATTTTTTAAAATATATGTTTATATACAAAAAAGTTTTGGAAGATTAGAGGCTATAAAGTCAACAAACACTCCAAAAATCAGAGAAGCTTGTTTACTTAATGCAGGAAGTAATCATGAAAGACTTTTTATACGAGTATTTTGAGTAAACCTGGTATGTCTGAAACAACTTTGCTGCTAATTTCCTTTGCATTTAGAGACTAAGTTACAAAACATGAGAATACTGACCTTGCTTTCGGAGCTACTGTTTTCTCCTCCGTTAGTCATTAGCTCAAGGATTTCAGGAAGGTGACCTACCAGTGCATCTAATACCTATTTAAAGAAAGGCTGCATGAATCAGGTTTGTAAATTAACTAGACTCAATTTTTCTCTCTCACTAATATGTCCCTACAGGCATCTCTGATGTGACTGTTCTCTCACCAATGTTAAAAAGAAGGAAAGTAAAAACAAAAGAATAAGGTGTAACTTATTTACATTGGTGATGATTGGGATTTAAATCCAGTATTTCAATATAAATATCTGAGTAAGGTTCAATTAAGGAAACTAGAACTATAGCTTTTATTTACTATATTATCACAGTCAGAGCTTTCTATACAACACACACCATAAAATATTCAAACATGAACTTTCATTCTTAAGAAAGATTCATATTTCAAAGACAGCTAAATAATAGTCCTGGCAGACATGAAAACATGTATTTTGGATATCTGCCAGGTGAATCTTTCCTGCTTTAAGAAAATCCATAGTTGACAAATTAAAACATAATATATAGCCTTATTAATAAAATAACCTTACTTAAAATGCTTAAAAAGGATTTTAGTATCTGAAATTGGACTAGAAGAGCACACTATTTAAATACTTTCTACCTACTCAGAGGATTTAATACAGTACGTTAATACAGTCACTGTGAGTTTACTAAACATAAACATCTTCCTATTTTCTTCCTTAACTACAGAAGTCTTGCAGTCTTTATGAAGATTGTGAAACCCAGGTAAGAGCTATTGATCGTATCAAATAGTCAACACTTTGCCTTATTAGAGTTATTAAACCTCTAGATAATCTGCTTTAATGTAGCAAACAAAAGAAAGTTGCAATGAGAGTACATTACCTCCAGTGACTCATCCTGTAGCAGTGTTACCAGCTCTTTATGTATTGTATACACACCAGAATTCAAAAGCTTAGCAACCTAAAAATGACAGCAAGATAATAAGGTGAAAAGCTCTTCAGCTCCACGGAACCCTAACAGTCACATTACACGTGCTTACTTTGCAGCAGGCATGAAGAAGGGATATGCAGCAATTGTTTAATGCCAGCCTTCTGAAGTTACACACATTTTACTCATCACATCATGAAAAATGCTTCTCTAAAGTATGGTTGACAAAATCTATTGTCTAACCATGAAGCATGCTTTTAGGATTAACTCTATTTAACATGTTTTTCAAAAGTGTTTAAGAGTGCAATACAAGGCCAGGGAAATTCATTCTGGAATATTAAATAGCCACTTCACGCTCCTTAGGAGAGTGAACAGTCACTCAGCTCTATAATTTAGGAAAAAAAAAAAAATACAGAAATTGGCTTAATCAGTTCTGGACTTTACATTTCCTGCCATTCCTTCTGAAGGTTTCACTCCTTAACTCAGGGCTTTTTATTCTTGTGACTCATACGTCACATATAAAGTTTTGTAGAAACAGAAATCTCCAAACTACAAAAAAAGTTTTTACAATAAATATGAAATATACTTGAGGTTGAGATTTCTACCATCTGTAGTTATTTAGATACTTCTAACAATTTTCTTTACATGAGTCCAATGAGCTTATTTCCAATGGGAAATAACTAATTATTTGAAAAAACATATATATCCACCTGGAAGTGAATGTCATTAATTATTCATCTCTGACATGTGGCTGCCTTCGTATGGTGTTAAAAATAAATCAAACAGCAATAAATGCACATTCACCTAATCTTACAGATATTTTTTACCTAAAATAACCTCTTGTACAGAAATAGTACCTTAAAAGTATTAAGTATCCGATATGAAAAAGTATGCAGAGCAACAGGCTAATTTTACAATTCAGCAATTACTTTGGTCATCAAAAGGCAAACAGACAACTGGAAATCTATCTGCCTTCCTAAAGATGGTGGAAATAAAATTACCTTAGCTTCATTTATGGCTCTACTACTGATTTAAAAGCTTCTAGGAAGCTGTTTAACTTCTCATTATCTCCAGCTACAGAATGAGATAAAAATCTAGGCTCCAGCAGTGAAACAAAGTTTCTCAGCAAAACAGTAAGAATAGTTTGGATAAAGATCTCCCTGTGTGAATTATTGAAAGCAAGAGAGTGACGTATATTCATTTCTGGAATTCACCCCACATAGCCAACAGCATTTACACAGTGGTGCATTTCAAAATTTTTTTGAAAATAATATAGCAGAGCTTATATAAAACTGAATAATAAAAGTATGCATGCTTTTATATCTGCATAAATTTCAAAGTATTTGCATATTAAATTTTAGCAATTAACTGGCACTCAGAAAATATAAATATTCTCCACTACTAGCATGATGGCTAATTGTACAGTTCTAAAGAAGGGTTTCAGGACCAGAGCCTTTCTCCTGCTTGTCTCGCATTTAATTGTTCTCCACATTTATGTATCTGCTTTGTATTCTTTTACTTAACTTATTCTTTCAGCAAGTTTCTTTTCTTTTGCATTGTGAAATTAAAGAACTCATTTTGCCTTGATTCTAATTTGTTCTCTGACCCATGGCAATAGCATTCAAAATCCTGACATATTCTAACTACTATATTCCCTTATGTGATTACATAATACTTGATCATTTTAAATTTCTTCAAACTTTTCTTCCTTCTGAACTCAATTATCAATAATAACCTGCTCTAGCCAAAAGTCAAGCCACTAAACATGTGTACCCAAGCTATAACTGTGTAGCAAAAGAGACTGAATACATATGATGAACTAAATCACACTAATAAGTTTTCTCAAGTCTTTTTATTTTAGTTTAACAATCACAAGTGTAAGTTTAAGAAGTAAATGGTATAAAACAGAAAAGAGCTCAAGTAATAACAAAGAACCTTTGTAGACCTACTTCATAGAAGCCCATGGCCATAGTGTATCTGACTGGAACTTCAGGATCATGACAAAGGCAGAAGAATGTGGAATATAGTTCCAAATGAAAATTCTTTGGATCCACAAAAACAATCATGGCCTGTGGAAAAACAAGGCTTTGTTAATTAACTACACAAAGAAGGTTGATACTATCAGAGATCATTAGATGAAAACACAACCAGAAAGACACCTGGAGATAACAGAGTTCTGATTATAAAGAGGAGGTGAAGCATTTCTGGTGACCATGTGAAAACCCAGGTGTCAGATAGCTTCCTGATTTGAGTACCCCCAATCTGGATTCACAGACACGTTGCAGGATTTCTCTGAAGACACAGATTAGAAACACCAAGTATCAAGCCTTAGTTTTATAAATATTGCTAATCTTTCTGTAAACTAGTGGAAGCAGAAATTGGAGGCTTCAGAAAGAAACAGTGTTTTAGCATGTAGCAGAGCAAGCATCTAGCTTTCAACACAACTGAGTGTTTACATACCTTGCTTTCTGTTCAAGTAAACCAACAGATGTGTCTATCTACAACCTTAGTGTTTGTGTTTAAAAGACAGTACAAAAATAACTACCTGCTAGCTCTTGGAACAAAGACATTTGCTTTAAATACAAATGCAATCAAAACACAGAATACAGCACTAGGTTTAAAGGCCTTAAAGGACTTTTTGCATTTAGGAACCATGGCAAAAGAGGAACCTAACTATTCAGAGTTGAGAACGAACAGAGCAAACAGAGCATCCAGTTTTGGAGGGTTTAAAAAAGGAAACTCTGTTTCAAAGCCATTTTCTCAATGCTGTTGTGCTAAGAGTTTTGAGAAAATGTAAATAAAAGTACTCTCTAGTACAAACTTTCCAGGGTTTTTCCTGAAACTTTGCAATGAGAAAGCTTTATAGTAATACTTTTAGACAATCTTTACACTAAGCCATTTACTTGAACTTTGCATGGGAGGGCTAGAATGTATCTAAAAATGGTTAATGTGTGAATGATGTGCATGATAGCTTACTTACTGGAAAATTGTAAGCACAGTTCTTCCTCACTGAAATGTATTTCTTTTCCTGTTCCAGAGTTTGAAGTTGTAGTTGATTATCATTGTGTCCATTCTCCTGCTGTAAACCCAACGTGCAAAGTTTCTTATAAAATTCTAAAAATCGTAAGTGCTGCTCAGGAGTAAAAATGCCTCAAGAAAAAAAAGAAAAAGAAAAAAAAAAAAAAAGAAAAATGCTAGTCACTTGTTATTCTCATTACATATGCTGTCAATAACGTCCAAAAAGCAGATCCTATTTATGAACCTATCAAGTATATCAATTTTTATTCTCTCCTCCTCCCTCAGGTTTAGTGGAGTATCATCAGTATGCATTATACAGACTGAAAATTACAGAAACTGAAATAATTATAGAAAGTGAACACTAACTACAAAAAGATTGAGTCTTAATTTCTGATTACATATTATCTTGAAGTAATTTTTAGCTGCAAGACTGAACGTATTTGTTTTTCTACTAGTACTGATTATTCATGACTAAATTTTGAGCTCTTTATGGACCTCAATGACACAGAAAAATTACATAGGAAGTAGAAAAATTAGGCCATGCTGCTAAAGCATGAGGTATATGAACATGCAAGGACGAACATTATAAAAATCAGAACCATCTGGAATGTAAACAGGAAGATTACATCAAAAATCAAAAGCAATAATTTGATAACTATATTAGTAATAAGAGAAGAACCCAAAAAAAAAAAATCCTCCTCTGGGTACTCAAGACAGAGGAGAAAGCTATTAGTCACTGACCTCAAGAAAGCTGAAATGGCCTTAAAACATTAGACCATTTTTCTATCAGAACAGAGGGAAAGTACCATGCTTATACAAATATACATCACCTGCTCAAATCTGGGAAAGAGAAATAGTGCTTAGGTGCTTATGGGGCAGTTGTACTCAAAACAAAAAGAATAACAGAATCTTTTGAGCTACCCCTGTTCACAGACTGCACATGACAAACAATAGTAAAGTGTCCAGAGAAAAAAATTTTTTGTTCTGTGCTTCAAACAAATCTAGCACAGAAGTGAGCATACACATTACAATGTGATCTCAAAGGCTTCTAGTTTCAAAAGTTTAAACTTCTAATTCTCCAAAACATCCAAAAAGTATCAAAATAAATCAGTCAAACCCATAAATCAAAACCATCATATTTCCATCTCTGTCCTTGCCATAACAAAAACAATAAACAGAGAGACACAACTTTAGAAGAAATTAACAAAATTCAACCTTGATGAGGCAGATTATTTTAAATTTATAATTCCCTATGTGCTTTCCTAAACATCATTTCACAGATAAATTCAGGCTAATTGGCTATTTTCTAAATATGTCAAATTTAGAAATATGTCAAATATTCTGAGCTCCTCTCATTTTTAAGCTTTCTTTTTTTTTTTTTTTAAGATAATTAAAACATACCATATAGTCCATTACAGAGCTTCCCTAAATGGAATGATAAAGAAACTAGAATAGATTCATCTGCTTTGAAGGACTTTTCACAGAAGGATTTCACTAAGGGGAGAACCGTTTGACTTCTATCATCTGAAAAACAAGAAAGATTTCTCAGTCAGTTCCTGGATATCAAGCATTTAAAACAGAGCACAAACCTCCATAACAAGTTGCAAAAAAGATCTTTTAACATAGCGAATACAGAGAGAATGATCAATATAGTACTAAAATATGAGTCTTGATTTTTAAGACCTTACCTGCTATTCCATTTCTTCTTCATGTGTTTATTATTATTATTATTATTATTACTTTTATTATTTTTAAAGGGAGGGAACCACCAAAGAAACCCTTTTGACCCACAGCATATGAGTAAATGAACAGTCACTAACTTCTCCTTTTACCACGATATCTATTTGGAATTTATAGAGATCAAGACAGAATATGACTAACAATGGAAAAGAGAAATCTGTGCGCGCCAAAAGTGAGTTTTTACAACCTACTGAGAAGAGGTTGAAAGTCTTATGGTAAACAATAAAGTCACAGGGAAACAGAGTAACTAAGGGGAGGAGAAAGAAATGAAACTAATTAGAAATAAAAGTTGAATTGAACAAATAATGCCATGTGCTCTGTCTCCCTACAAAATAAAGGAGGGAAAAGTTCAAGTTGAAACATTTTGGCTTGTATGTATTTTTAAAATACTTAATATGAATATATTATATTTTTAACAGTCACATTTTTAAGAGATTAGGATTTTTTTACATGGTGGCATATTTAGGTTGACTTGTTTTCATTGAAAACAAAATGTTTTCATTTTGTGTGGAAGAAACCTTAGCATACAATTTTGGATCACCTGCAAAGTGTTCATTTACTAGTTCAACCATATAACCAAAAAGTACACAGGCCAAACCTCTAGAAACACATTCCTTGCAAAATTATAAATAATCCCCAATGACTTTTTCTCAAGTGCTTTTTCAATAAATAAAATGAACAGTTAGAGTAATTTGGGGAGGGAGGGGACAATGGCAAAGACTGGGTGCAGAAAAGTTGATAGTTTCAATGTAAATGACTAATAATTTGAAAATTAACCCATTATACTTACTAATGTAAGTGCCAACAGCTAAAAATTCCAGTTAGGGTATTCTATCCCAACAATCTTATGTCTTTACATACTTCTCCATATGGCTTATATGCAATCATGTGTATTTTAGTAATTGATCAACAAGTTCCTGTAAATATTTGCTCCTCACTTATGTATCAGGAAGGAATAGCATAGCCAGTAAAACAGGAGTGGGAGTGGGAAATGTGGTGCAAAATAAAGTCACTAATGAAGATAAATAACTAGGGAATTTGGAGAAAAAGACGGCATAAAGTAAAAAGAGGGAAGTAATAAGCAGTGATATCACTAGCTCAACAGACATTTTCTTTTTTTGGTCATATACACTGCAGAATGCATCTCTCACCAGCTTTGCTCCCTTGGACATTTCTATAGGTACAAAAAACTTTGGAGAAAAAATTAATATCAGAGCTGGAAAAGCTCTGAAATAATGAAAAAAAATCCCAGCAGGGTAAGGGGTTGGAGGATGAAAATATTTCAGCTAGCCAGAATTACACTGGAAGTACTTCTCCTCCAAGTTTGCTCCAATCAGTGTTGATGTGAACTTGGGATGAGAATCTGAGCGCCAAGAACGTAGGCATCCCAGTAGCACTATGCCAAAAGAACCAGACACAACAGGGAATTTCCCCTTCCTCAAAAGGACATGCAGACACTCACATTCCTACATCTGAAGAACAACATATATGCATTGATTAGGGAAAAGGTAGGTTGTTGGGAAGATACAAGCACTTACCCATTTTGCTTTAAATACAGTGAAACATTTTAATAAGCACACACACTTTCCCTTTGCAAAGGAGAAAACTTTCAGTGCCAAACACACTCAGTTTTATAGGGTTTAAAAAGTAACTGCTGGTGTTTAGCACCTCTTAAAAATGGATCAGTTGTATGTACTGCAGTTTACAGGTCACAAAGAAATATTTTCTGTTCAGAAATTTACTAATGCATCTGACAAAGTGAATGCTAAAACTTCAAGATTTACTGATACACACATAAATATCACATTGCTACTGCAGCCTGGCTTCCTCCGCTCAGAAGGCATGCTGCAGTTAGGACTAGCTTTACTAAAGACTCTTATTTTTCACTTAAGAGATAAAAAACAGTTAACAATAAATGAGCACAAAAATTGATATCTGTTGCATTAAATTATTATGTTACATATCTTGGTGGCATTAAGTAAAGTAAATGTAAGTAAATATAAGTAAAAGTAAGTAAATGACAACAACCCAATATTCTGACCAGTAATAAAGTGATTTTATTTGACTTAGTCTCATCCTATTAGAAATCTAGAATAAGAAATGAGCAGTTTTACGGACAGCTGAGTCATATTCCTTTCGAAATTACTTTGTATGATGCATTTTAAGATAAGAAATACACAACTATAAAGGATAAAAACTAAAAACCAAATAAATGAAATGTCCTAAAAATTCAGACAGAACAAAAAGTATTTGAATACATTTGTAAGACGCCTTAAAGTCTTGATAACTGGGCTTGCCAGTCTCTATTAAGCTCTTACCTGCATCAAACATTTCAAGCAGATTCACTAGTGTCTCAAAGGCTGCAAGACGTACACTGCTGCCTTCATCTCTTGCCAGTTCTACCAATTCAGGAAGCACCACGGTTTTTGTTAGTTCTGTCCTGCACAGCAAGGCAAACAGTCAAGAGAAAACATAGAATGAATCAACATTTAATTTAAACATTATTTTGGTGACCAGCAAGGAAAAAATGACAAAAATGTAAGACAATGAAAAATAAATATAAATAATCAATGCAAATAATCTCAGGACTTTTCATTAGCCGAAGAAACACATAAGCTTAAAATACAAAAAATCATCACAATATAGGTTTCAAATTAGCTCAGAATAAATAGGACAAAAATGCAATCTCAAAAACCTGAAGAGGTCAAGCTACTTTACTGTAAGAAAATTCTTCTGATTATTATTCTGAATATTCAGAAAGTATTTAACATAACAAAAGAATAATGTCCAAAGTAAAAACGATTAAATGTGGGTGATACAGAAAGACAGATATTTATAGAAATAAAAATTCCAGAAGAGCCTATCAAAATATCAAACCCAAAAGAGTTTCTGCAAATCAGGGAAACAATGCTTTTTATTTTTAAATGTTTGAAAGTACCAGCCAAATTGATTTGCACCTTACAGAATTGTAGTTGCCAGCAAATTTAGCCTTAGCTTAACAGTTTTCTTCTGAAAAGATGATAAATAATTTATATAAAATTGCTAGAAAATTACATGATAAACATTTAGGGATTACATCATTTAATAGTAAAAAGAAGCTTTGTGATTGCTGACTCACTATGTTTCAACATTTCCATAATAATGATAAATAAGCAGGAGTACACACATTATTTTCCCACTACTCACTCATCACTAACTTAAAACATGACAACAGTTTATGCACTGAAATTATCCATTTTTCCACTTCTCATAAAATTAAAGATATATGTATTTAAATCACTAAGCAAGAGCCAAGGCAGAAACTACCAGGAAGAAATTAATGTATATAGATACATAAATGCTAACATTAAATGTTGGGGAGGGAAAAAAAAAAAAAAAAAACCAACTATACAGCACAATGTAATAACTGATAATTATGTACTTGTACCAACTAAACCACTTTAAAGCTGGATAAGTTGTCGGTGATACTGTCAACTGCCAATACCCAACACCTAGCTCTTTTGAAGACTTTCAGTGTACAGATAAAATTTACAATTTAGTTCATTTTTAAAAATTTTAACAAACAGTTCAAAAAAAAAACTCATGAAAGGAGATAAAAAAAAAAAAAGAAATGCACATGTCTTGTAAGGGTCATGGGAAAGAAGATTAATACATCACCCTAGATGGAGACCCAGAAATCATGAATTAAATATTAAATCAAGAAATGTTTTCTGAATGTAGTTCCAGTGCTTTCTAGGTTGATGATGTGAGAAGCACATTTAACATTACAACGCATACATGGGTTAAAACTGGCCCTCCTATCCCCTTTGCAGAAAAAAGAAAATTATCTGGTCACTCCCTGAAGATAAACAGAACTACTTAATTTATTTAATCTCCCATTACTCAGAATTGATTTTTGAGATTGCATAAATATATAGAGATACAATACAGATACACAGTAAAAATGCATTTCGAATTCCACACTTCCACAGTTTGATAAAATACTCTTTGAATTTAATTGTTATAAACAGCAATATTATCAGCAAATGCTATCCTTTTCTTCTGTAGCCAGAGTTCTTTTAAATACAAAGATATTTGTTACAGAAAATGTCAAAAATATTTAGTATGTTTTGCTTCCCTGTGGTATAAAAGGAAGCAAGTATGAAAATAAATGAATAATTTTACTCAGGTAAATAACATCATTTTCTGTTCATACTATTCACGTACTATGAACATCTATAGAAAGAAGGCCATCTAGAAGAGTTGCCTAAAGCACTTGATAATATTATTCTGCATTGCAACAAAGGTAATTTTTTTCTATGAATCAAGCAATTCCAATTCTTTATGATCTTACCTAAACAATGCATATTAAGCACATGACAGTAAGCCTCAGTTTTTGCTGTGAATGCTAATTCCACTACAGTTGAGGTAAATCATATTGTTTGCAGGGATACTGTTCTTTTTAAAGCAACTAAAAAATCTACACCATAACACATACAAAAAAATCCCAATCAAAATTTGGCAGTGGCATAGGAAAAGACATTTTCTGCTTCAGTGCTAACAAATTAAAGTGCATTTTTACAGTAGCTTACAAACTTTCAGTTTAACCCTCATCCTTGAGCAACTCCCAGATTCACATTTTTAAAGGCCAGAAGGACCAGTAAGATCTTTTAATCTGTCCCCCTGCACAAAACAGGGCAGGAAACATCACTTGACAATTTTTTAAGCCTGTACTAGCATCTACTACTTTTTTCTCCTCAACACAAGAACAGGAGCGCAGACCAGAAATTTCAAAATAGTTGTTCACCCGAAGACCAAACCCAAATGTGTAGCTAACATGTTTTAATCAATTACATTAGAATACAAGTTCCAGAACTTTTAATATGTATCTATGTATAACACTGAGAGTCTTCAAGGCTAGAGTCAAAGCTGACAGTGAACTGAAATTTGCTTTCAGTACAAAGACAAAAACAAATGAACAAAAAAACCCTTTTTTTGCATCCTCTTATCCTCTTGTAAAAAGTGGTAATTACTTGAAACTACTAAGCCTTGCCATAGTCCTCATGCATTTTTAAATAGATCTTAATCTAAAGCCAAATGACATCAATGGGCAATTTAAATGATTTCAATAAACTTAATATGAACTTATTAAAAGAAAATTTTATGTGGTTCAGTAATTTTACCATCACATACAAATACAAATCTGAGAATGGAAAACAGCTACCTGCAATTTCACAAAGCATCTATATGCTTTGAATTTATTATTGATTATACATGTGTTAATCTAAAAACTCATCTAACTTATCATTGAATATTTTAGCGAGAGTTTGCACTCAGTAGCAGTTATGCAAATGTTACTCACCCTATTCCTTGAGCTATATGTTCCAGCTGCCGACACATGCAAGTTCTGACTTCATATTCTACGTCCTGGCACAGTGATTTTACCAACGGAAGAATCTCTCTTTTAATACTAAAAATGTGAACATTATTTATTAATATACAGAACAAAAATATATAAAAACCATTTTGTAATATTCAAGTATTCACGTATTATCTCTAACTACAATTTTAAAAAATAATTTATCACACACCGCAATTAATGATGCAGAAAACTTACTTCTTGGATTCTACCGATATAAATGATAATGATATAAAATAATACCCTGCTTCAGATAAGAAAAGAAAAAGAGTTTTTCAAAAATATTTACAGACATAATTTGCTCATATTTCATCTAACACTTTTCAAAACTACAGAACAGATAAGCTTATTGATTATTAAATTAATTATCATCTTTAGCACCTTTTTAAGGATACAAAGAGTTATGTAAATAGAAATGCAAACTCTATTAAATTTCGTCCTTGCTTTTAAAACAGAAAGCAGAAATACTAATAAGAGGTTGTTTTACTGAGCCAGACATTCCAATGAATAAGAAAACTCTGATTCAAATACGGATTAATCTTCTTCTGTGTATACCGAAGACATTCCAAATCACCATTTACACACTGCTGTGGTTCAATCTTTTGTCATGTTCCAAAACTTTATGCATTTCTTTTTTCTTGAAGGTCAACACAATGCACACAGCTTGAGCAAATTCTGCAGGACCTAATATTCAGCCTTGTGCATGTGCCATATAGAAACTCAGCTGCCAAGTAAAAATAGTCTTTTTTTCCCCCCTCTCTTTTCAGACTAATATGTCCAAATTTCATGAGCTACTAAGCAGTCTGCTTAACTGTAAGGCAGTAGAAGCTGATCCACATTCTGTGCTAATTATAATAGCCATTAGGCATTATAAAATATGTAGATGAAGTTAATTCTAAGCTTCAATACAGATGATGAAGGCTGTAAAATATTCCAATTCTTTCAATCCCAAATATGAGATGAATGCAAGGTTCGAAATCATATACTCTTTGGCTCATTCTTGATGATTCTAACAGGTCAGTCTGTGTATAAATACATATATGTGTTATTAAATCCAAACAAAATTAATGAGACACAAAAGCATTGAAATTTAAGGGAAAAAATATGTCCTGAGGTAGAAGTCAGTGATACTTTAGGGAGAAGATGTATTCTATATAAGTTGCATTCTGCCATCTTGTTTGTGTGACATTTAATACAATGAGATATCACTTCCGATGAGGGTTTTCTACTCTACTAAAACAAAAACAACAAAACATGTTCAGAGGAGGTGGCTCACTTCATTGTCACTGATACTTATCTTTGGAAAGCGTATATCAAAACTACATTTAGGAATAAAATTGAACAATTCACAAGAAATTTAAGATTTATAGCCCCAACACTGCAATGACTTTATGCAAGTATACCCTACAATTTATGTTAAAATAACAGCAGATACACAGAAAAACTATTTTGAATTCTGTTTAAGTAAAAACACAGACAGTAACTTGGCAGATTCAGGCATTGTGTTTCCTTTCATTGCTCAAGATTCTGTTATGAGTATAAAGCATCTCTGTCCAAAACCTTATGTTGTTTTAAAACTCAGAGAAAGGGTATGAAAACTGAGATAACATTTTCAAGTTTGTGTGCACATCCTCGATTCATCCCAATGAAAATGATTTTGCTTCTTATAGCAAATATTTACCCTGAAGTTTCAAAAATTGTACCAAGTCTTGGGAGTGTAGCATTTTAAAATACTCTGAAGTACTAACTACTTTCATAAAAGACTTGAATTTAGCCAGCTGTTAGAAAAGTGTGTAAAAAAAGCCATTTTTTCCTTTTTTAAGGTCATGACTATGCCAATAGAAATATCCTGGAAGTCATATGAAATATTAAAGAAGTTTTATTATAGTATAAATTTTCCTTAGGAAAAACAGTGCCTTTTTAGAAAAGAATGTGAAGACATATTTCTGCATTGCTAACTCCCTTGAATAAGTACCTCTCCTGAGCCTATACCACAATCTCTCCCATAAAGGGAACGATAGGGTGTCATGAATCTTACTCAGCCTGTGCCATACTCCACACATGCAGATCAAAATCTCTTTTTCACCTTGTTCAACTGCACTGAAAATATTCTAACAGAGGATCAATACAGCTCAGAAACTTCTCAGTGATCTTCATCTAACCTACAGGGAGCTTGTATTTAGAAACAGTACTACTCTCAGTTCATTGAAACAAGAAGCTTTATATTTCTAAAAAGAACTCTTTTTATTATTATTCTGATTTCTACACATTAATTTTGTGTAATTAGGATTAAAAAGTAAAACCTGAAGAAGGTGGGTTCTTAGGGGTTTCCTCTTTATGATAAGAAATCTTAAGGTGATGAAGTTGAGTTTAGTTTCCACAAGTTGTAGAGACATTCACTATTTGGCTTATTTCCCATTAAGAAAAATACTATGAAACACTGATGTGAAAATTGTACTGATCATGTAGAAGAATATACAAATTGAAGTCAGATATGAACATCAGCAAGTGTGAATATACTAGTTACATTCTGAATGGTTTTTTTTATCATTAATTACTACCTAGATATATAGTAACCTGTAGATACCTGTAAATAGATATCTGTAAACGGAAAGTATTTAATTATTGCAATAAAATTAGTAGTTTTCTTGTAATAATTTTTGTCCCCTAACAAAGAAAAATTGATATACATTTTGGAATAAAAATATATGAACATTGTACTCACATATGAGTTTCAAATTTGTTAGCTAATTTTCCCATGATTTTACAACTGACTAATCGTGACTGAAGTGTTTGAGAAAGCTGTGCCTTGGAAACAATTGGATTCAGGATCTATATAAAGGAAAAAAGAAGAAAAATTGAACAGTAAATAGCATATTCTCTTCTTAAAAAAAAATCTAGTAAAATGTATGTCTCAAATATCATCTATCACTTTTATGGAATTAATGAGTGTGAACAATAATAACGCATATGTACATTAACAGCCTACTGGAAATTTGCATTTAACATTCAGTACTAATTATAGAATCTATATCTTGGCCCAAATTTCAGTTTATGATTCACATCACAGCCACAATTTTACATCTGTCTATTTGTGCCTTTATTTTGAAGCTAAGTTGTATATGAATATTTACAGCTATTAGCTGGGAATTTTCACAAAATGTTGAATCTGCCCTTGCACAGAAAAACAAAAAACAGATAAAGAGGAAAAGAGAACCCCTCTGAGGTTCTTCCTGATTAATTTTTCTAGGAAACACCAAATTTGGTATGGAGCTTGGAGGCAATGACATCTCTTAGTTATGTATACTCTGGAGGGTCTGTAGGGAAGAGGTTTCATTTCCATATAGATGCAAAAACCCTGCAGCTTATATGGGTGCTGCACTGCCATTTGATGGATCACATCTACAGTGCCAGAAATAAACTAAAAAAGAACTTTTAAAATACAACATTCAGGGATACTACTTTTTTGCAGAGGAATTATGACGGAAATCCAAATGCTGAGTCAGGGAGAACACCAGAGTTATCTCCTGTAGCTCATCACAACTCTTCACTTGTGTGAAGCTCACTAAAATTATCAGCAGGTTTGGAATTTACAAGATTATTTTCTCCTTTTTTTTTTTTNTTTTTTTTTTTTTTTTTTTTTTCTCCTAGCCATCTAACTTTTCATCTTTTAGAAGATTTCTGTACATAACAAATCCACAAAACAGTGGTGGATTTCAATCACTAACTAGTTTTAATGTGTATTTTTACACTACAAAAATGATAATATATTTACAGCTCTATATTGCTCTAAAGTTATAAACAGAGTAAGAGAACCCTATTTGAAAAGTTAACAATCAAATATGAATTCTCAGCACAAAATTTAATAAATTAGCAGAATAAAATGGAAGTACTTTATGACTTAGTGACAGAATTTATTCCTTTTCCTCAGGCTACTGGCTGAAAGCCTCTAGTGTTTTCAGGACATTAGATTACACAATGAGAAATATCTCTAGCGGTCAGTCTCCTTTAGCAGAAAACCACAATTTTGTCCAGTAACAAACAAGATGTCTTTCCCTCATGAAGAGACAGAATGATATACTGCCCTGTAATCTGAAACAGGATACACGAAAACATTTCTAAAAATACTAGGCGCAATCCAAGTGTTAAAATGTATATTGTATTTATTTGGTGAAGAACACTGAAGGTTTTTAAGGTAACCTTCCTGTCTGGTCTAGGGACATTCCTCTCAAAGTCTGCTCCATAAATGTTACCGGTTCTCACAGATGTAGAATGGTCACAGATGTCATTGAAGTGAATAAGACTTTTACAGACCTCCAAACTTTTGAAGAAACAGAGCAACATTAATTTTCTGTTTGCATAAGCAGGAAGAATATTATTACCTCAAGTCTAATAGTCTCTTTGGGTAAAGCTTCTATTACAGCAAGAAGAGTTTCTAGCCATGCATTGCTGACACCTGCCAGTAAGAAACAAGTATACGTTATGTTGTACGTACACATAAAGTATAGTCAAATGCCCATTCACTTTATAAAACTAGTTCTCACTTCTTTCCTTTACCTCTTTAATGAGCTAAATATATAAAAGACCTTAAATTAACATTCAAGACTTCGCACACTCACTATTTAGCTGCATATATTAGAAGCAAATTCTGCCCCCATTTTCTTGTCCTTTTAAATTCTGGTGTAGGCAGGGGAAAATAATTATTCTATCTTAAAAAAAGAAAAATTTCTTCATTTAGCATATTCCTTTCTTTTCCACCTAAACTTTCTACTTTTGCAACAGCAGGCCATTTTTATTGTGTAACTTTAAGATAGTGCCAAAAAAAGCTCAAACAAATCATCATAGAAGAAATGTCAATCACTCTCCCTTTATCTTCTTAGTCAGAGAATTTTAGTAATTCAGTACTTCAGAATCAGTAAAAACTACAAGATTCAGACCTCCAATCAAAGCAAGTATTTTTCTTTGCTTCCATCAGGAGGAAGACAACGTATTTAAATACCCTTAAGTTGTCAGCATGTCAAAATGTTGTCTTTCATGCAAGTGTAGAAGAACTGCGTGCGCTGTTTTACACAGTATTATACAGTTGCTACGGAAACAAAACATATGGAATTAAACAGTTATCATTGTAGTTGTAAAGCCCTGACCTGCATCCCTGTGTTCCAGATTCTGCAGAATGATGTGCAGAAAGGAGTGGGAGTACGTATGAATGGACACTGATTCCTCTTGCAGAATAGTCAAAAATGAAACAGCAGCTGTTAACTGCATTTCCACTCCCGCAACATGCAGCACTTCCTGTATAATTACAAATTATATCAGTTTAAAAGGATGAGCTGGAAAGTTACTGAAAGAACACTCAATTTTTTACATTCATTTTTAAGAATGAGTATGCAAGAATATGGATGGATTACAAAATTAGCTGTAAAATCATTTTCTCCTAATAGTGATTACTTGGGAATATTCAAATCTCTCTTATTCTAAGAGGAATCTTTTAAGAAAAGGAAAAGTTAATTATAATATATTTTCTCAACTTTCAGTTTCATCTATGCCTATGTACGGATATTTCTACTTTACAAAACAAGATGTAAAAACAAGCCAATCAACACTTCCTTCCTCTATTTGAGCATACAAATTAGAGAGAAACATTTCCTTCGCCTGGAAAACAATACTAAAATTTTAGTAGACATTTACATTTCTTACTTAGCAAGTAGCACTGAACACAGATAAAAGTTTATATATATTCCCTTAAAAATAAGCCAAGAGGTATTAGGGTATTTAGTCAGGGAACTCAGTATTTACTAGCACAGAATTTTAACATATAACAACATAATTAATCTTAAAAAGTCTACTTCAGAAGTTAAACAGTCATAACATTGGTTCTAAATCTGATCATGAGACAATTACATGCATTAGTCTATGACCAAAGCACCACACTCATTTCATGAGTGATTTCAAACTGCATTTTTTTTTTGCATTTCCTATTTGATGTTATGTAGGTCACCTTTTAGTTTCTTTTCTTCATGCTTCAGATGAATAGGCTTTACTCATATCACATTTTAAGGATTAACCTGATTTTTAATTAAAAAAGTAAACCAAACTTTAAGAAAATTTCTTATATACATAACATGCACAAAAGATTATGCAGAGAACAGGCAGGAAATGAATTAGTACACTTTGCTTACTTTCTCATAGCAAAACACCAACAACAAAAAAGGCAATAGATAAATGCCATAGAGTTTGTATGTGCAAATATATAAATTTTCAGTTTATCATTACTTATCTCTCAAGAGATTTCTGCAAATACTCAGGTTTGGACATTTATAAGAGCATTCACCCCCACCAAAAGCAGAAAAATCAAAACCAGAAAATTGAGCAGCTATCCAACTAAAAAAGCTTAAGAGAATTAACAGAATGCCTTCAATAGCCATGGAAACTGCATTCTTATTATCAGCATGGGCTATCTCTGCCCTTGTTCTTCTACTGTTACCACAAATGCTACAGCAAAGAATAAGGCCTTAAAAATAATTCACTTCCTGAGTTTGTAATATGAATGTTTACAGGATCAGAATATCTACGAAAACTGATATAGAATTACATTAAAAAAATTCAAAATATAATCCAAAATCAGAAGAGCCATCCGCACTGCAGACAGCAGACTGAGACAGCATTGCAAGTTAAAATATAATGGAGCTGAACTCAATTTTATGTGTCCCTTCACTCTGGATATAATGCAAAGAGACTTGTTAACCATCAAATAAATTTTCCAAATACTCTCCTCCACGGATCCACACAGCTCTGAATAAGCACATGTGAGAACAGCTTTGCTGGATGTGCCTCCTCATGGACTTTGGTGGACACCAACATGCCCTTTTCCAAGCTATGGACACATCTGCCTGCACGGACATTTGTGCTCAGATCTGTGCAGATCCATGTATGAAATTGTATGGACCTCCATTCTCCTTTCAGTTTCACTCACCTCAAGCTGAGCAATCTAAGCTCAGGTAACACAATTTTACTTATTTAATCATTAGGGTGTTTCTCTGTATATGGAATCAGCACAGAGCCAGGGTACAATGATATACAAGGAAAATAAGTAATTGTGAAAGCGAGTTTGTAACAAAGGAGACAGTAATGAGTAAAGTATAAACTTCAGTAAACAATAGCCACAGTTTTCTTCAATCAAAACATCTGACACTCAATTTAATCACTGTTTAGATCTGTCACATATATAGCTATAGGTGTTTTAGTGTTGAGAGGAGCAAAATTAAATATGCCGTATAGAGGTAAATGTGACAGATCTAAACAGTGATTAGTGGTCTAATCTAAACAGTGATGCGGAAGGTCTTTCACATCATTTTAATTGGTTTTAAAGAACGATGATAAATTTGCATGTACCCATTTGCATGTACCCCACTTGTTTTTTCCTCACCTGTAATATAAATAGTATTTATGTGGTTTCCCCAAGTATACTAAAAAGAGTAGTCTGGGTTTATTACCCTATTATGTATTGGCAATACTGTCAGATAGGTATCACCCTGAAAGTCTTTTTTTTTCCCTCTTTTAACTTCTATATGCTATGCTATGCCTTCTAAAGGCTATGCAAAATTTCCACTTAATAGTCAGGACTGTTTCTCTTTGAAATAAAGGCATTTAACTTTTTAAAATTGCAGCAAACATGAGCACAGCAGAACAATTCTTCTGCTGAGAGTACTGAATAACAGGGAGCATAGAAGGATCTGCTCTATGACAGTATCTGCAGAAAAAAAGAAAAATCAGTCATTCGCGGCAGAGTTTTAATTATTGAAGTTTAAAGCCAAAAGGAACACTTTGATTTAGACTGACCTCCTCCTATCAGAAGGAGCTATTATATTTTGCTATTTCATTTCTGCTTTGAGCTCATCAACTTAAATCTCATTTAATTTACTATCTAGAAAGGCATTTGGTATGGAAACCGCAAGATGGAAAACATATTTCTTTGCATGGCTACTAGCTGAAAGGCTAATCACTATCATCATTATTATAGAAAAAGGTCTGCTTCATTTCTAATTTTTAATCAGTCTTCAGCTCCTAACTCTTCTTTTTTGCTACACCTTTTCAGTTAAATACTTTCTTATCAGTGAGGAAGATCATTTTATAAAGTAATTAAGTACCTCTTGATCAAAACATATTGAACTCTGTACAGATCTTTTTCCAGGTCCTGGTCAGGTTAATGATCATGCTTTTTAATTTTTTTCCATCCCTATATAAAAAGCCAAGACTCTACAACTACCCCTTTATTTCTGCCCAGAGTCATTTCCTGTTTGTAACAGGAAATAATTAATTTTTATTAACTAATAACTTTTGTTATTTCATTAATAAACTAATAATTAAGAAGCCCTTACAGAAAATTGTTTTGATAGAAAGAAACATCTCAGATATCTGCAATATATGCCAAATAGCAGTTCAATTTTTTTGGAGGGGTGGGGAAGAGGAGCAGGAACGTAGTGTTGAAAAGTGATGTCCAATATTATAGACCAAAAATGCTTTTGCAGAAAAGTATGCAGTAGAGCTTACATTTAAATATTCTACAGAAAAGTATGTGCTAAGCAATCCACCACTGAAGAGTCAGACTAACCTCAAAAATATTAATCCCAGCGGTAGTCTTAAATGCTACTGAATAAAACTATAACACTGGAAAAAAAAAAGAAAAAAAAAACAAAAAAACTTACTCTGATTTTTGGCAAAACCCGACGAAGCGTTTCTGCAGGATTCTGCCGCATCAGGACGGGAAGATTTGCCACCACACTTGTTCCTTGGATATCCTGTCCAGAGCTTACAAAAATACATACATTTTAACCACTGATCTTAAGATGGCCTCAAGCCCACAGATTTCATTAGAAAAAGACAAAGTTATCAATAATAGGTCAAAAGAGGCATTAACTTCTTTCTTAAAAACTAAGATACTAGGTAGCAGAAAACAACATAAAAAGCATGTCAACCATAAAACCTGTTCCGTATTAGTTCAAAGATGAGATGTTCCAATTCTTAATTGTGATTNGGGGGGGAATTTGAAAGACCTTTTTTTTTTCTCCCTTTTCCCCTCAAACTAGATCATCAAGGCTGTGATTTTGTAGACGCTTTCCTATGTGAAGATGATATAACACAGAAAGGGGGCAAATAGAAGAACGCATAAAAAATAATTAAAAAAAATATTCAACATACATTATTGCTAAAACATACAGTTTTTGATTTTTTTTTTTTAAGGAAGATAATCAAATACATGTTCATATTGTTAAACACAAAGAAACATCAAAGTACCCAAAAACTAGCGTAGATTAAATATCTTCTATGTTTCTTCTCATTCTGTCTCTGTTGATGATAAAGAGATAAAAGAAAAGGGGGGAGGAAGAGAACAGGGTAGGCACCAGGGAAGGTGGATGAATGTCCAAAATGGAATCAGAAAATGTTCTTTCTTTTTTCCTTATGGATGCCAAAGTTAACAATTTAACTAAATATTTAAATGCACATTTTTCCCCATTTAAATGAATTAAATCTGCTTTGCTAAGGAGACTCAGCCACACCAACAACTAAAATGCTTCTTCTTAAGCATACTAAACTGAACTATACATAACGAACACATATAAGCGTTTTTCTTAGCATGACATTATAATTATAATGTACAACATGATTACACACTTGTTGAAAAGAAACTCATGCTAAAAATACTTTTAACTGTTTCCATATAGAATGCCCTGGTCATTCTGAATTTTCTTGGCAAAACATACCGAGGAAGAAACTAGGTACATGCAACAGTCACAAGACAGTGAATTTCAACTTGGAGTTCTGTTCTGTCACTGCAATATATTAGGATATTCACAGCCAAAACGCAAAGCCTTCCTGCAGCATTTAGAGCTGAATACATTATTGCACATTCCCCTAATACTCTAAATCATCCTCAACATCCGTGTCTTTCAGAAATTAAATGAAATTAGTTATTTACAGGTACAAGCAAGCAGTTCAATTTTGCTCTATTTTGTTAAATGCATTTGAATGCACTTTGGAAAATGAGGATATGTTTGTGTAATAAGTGAGAAGCAAAAGTAAAAGGCTTGCATTAAAATCACTGGAGACTAGAATACCCTAACAGAAACACTACAGTGTCCTAATGGAAAAGCTTTTTTCGGTTATTATTTGCAAAGATCTCCATATAGCTGTAGTAAAAATCATTGTGTCAGGGTTTGGGGCAAGACACTTAAGATCCACACCAACAAAACCTTCCGCTTCCACAAAGGATAAATGCAACAGCAATCTTTACATCTCATTTGCTTACACATCTAACCCGAAGGTGCCAATACTTCCAAGGCCTGTTCACAGCTGAGCACATACAACTGCATTCACCCCAGCTAACTGCAGGCTGCACATGTCTTCGTCTAAGATTATTTTCCTTCATAATCAAGGCAGAGAAACAGGTCTTGGTAGGGAACAACTCATATCAGCAGAAACAGGTCAGACCTCTCTCTACAGCGGCCTATATCCCATATATCCTCTATACACTGCCTACAGAAAGGCAGACTCAAAGGCCAGTTCATCTATGGATACTTACACTGTAAACAAGTTTCAGAAATACATAGCAAACCTTGGCCAGGTTCTGCTCACCTTTACCACCAGCAGTAGTCCCACTGGTTTTCCACATAATAACATACATTGTCCTCAAAAATATTTGGACAATTACAGACTTAACTAAGTGATCTGGGACAAAAATCAAATATGCCTAATATCCATATTTCAAGAGCAATCAGCAAGGGTATACCACCAACTTATTAACTGTACTAACTGTGTTCTAAATGAGTGTTACCCATCGTGAATTCCATGAATCACTGTTTTTGTCCTATTTGCAGGCCATGTAATTCTTAAATGTTACAAAGATTAAAAACACAAATAGAAGAAGAGTTATGATTCATTCAAATAGAAGAAGAGTTATGATTAATTATGACCAAGTTATGACCAAGGCTGCAACATTCTGACCCACTAAGCAAAATTTGGGAATCATATTCAGAGCAGAGACTTCACATTTACTGGTTCTATATGTTTATAATAGCTAAAAGCAAATAAAAATTATAGCAGTTAAGAGAGTTAACATTAGATGTAAAACTAACTGTACATGTTGCTAGGTGAAGAACTGTGGTCTTAAGAGTAGTAGCCTAGAAGAATTATTTCCTGTTAAATGTGGATATTTCAAATTTTCATAAACTACTTTAGTTTTCTTTTGGTGGTCAGAGACAGCATAGTCTGAAGGGTCAGACAGAGCAGATTCTGAATTTCCGTTCTATATATAACAATGGTTTACCTTGTGACCTTATTTATTGGGGAATTTAGGTAAAACATCATGACTTTAGTGTTTCTTTGCTCACTTTCTGTTTTCTTCATTTTTTCTGTCCTCAAATAGAATGGTGATTTCATTTTACCAATCAGACAATAGTAATTTAATTAGTTTTCATATCTCAAATATTATATTTTCTCATTTTCTGAACTTCCATAAAATTATACTACTTAAGACTTGCATGGAAATTCACAAGACAGAGTAAGACATGAGAGACTAAAAGACACAACAAATTGAAGACACACAATTTCAAGGCCAAGGAGAAAAATTTTGCAAAGAGTATAAAAATAATACACATTTCCTTTCTACTTTTATAAATATAGTGCATATTACAACTGAAAAATTGCATCAGTAACTTTCAATTTTTTTAATCCTCTGTAATAAAATCAGTTCAAGTTATTGTGATTTTCTGAAAAAGTATTAGGAGCCAATTTTCTGTCTGGCTACCACTGACAGCAGTCTATTTTAAGTGTTGTTTGCAAACACAAGAACGTTGACAACTTTTGATGGTCAGACCTATACTAAAGCCATCTTTAAACCCTATCAAAATCAGGGAGAAGCAACTAGACTACACCTTCTCAGACTGATTTTAGCATTGATACAACCTAATTTTAGAAACATGGTCTGTCGATAACATCTAAACTCAGTGAGAGGACAGCGTTGTGTCACTCGGTAAAACAGGATTTAAATGAAGATTAAACAATGATCTATTTACAGCTTGTAGTATTTTGCATTATTCAAAATCACTTTATTATCTCATTTATAACAATGACTACCAAAGCTTTTCTGCTTTATGGCACATTTCTTTGAGAATCACGTACTACTTGCAATAGCAGATGAAACCTATAGCCACAAAAGTGGATGAGGGTAACAGGGCAGCTGAGACACAGAACTTGCTAAAATTCACCTTGCAGCCTCACCAAGGCAAAGGTGCACACTTTTGCACCTACTTTTGCGATATCCAGTAGGAATACAAAAACTCAAAGCAAGCTGGAGGAAGTATTTTACTACATACTTTATTCATTTTGCATTAAGATGGATGAAACCAGAACTGCTAAAAAATGCAATTCTATGAGCAAGCATTATAATGAAAAGTGGAGTGTTCCCCTTTAAAATAGAAGGGCTTAGTATCTGGCTTGCTGCCAAATAAGAATTTGAATTGGGAGGCATTTCAACACCTACACAGCCTGTAATTTTCCAACTGTGGAAGATTTTTCTCCTATTTCTACCAAAGAAGTTGCATCATGGATTCTCTTTTCTTTAAATATTAAAACCTCCAGTATTAAAGTGAATTACAGTCAGATTAAGACTTTTTTCAGACTCAAAAGTATATCCAAATAAATACTGAATAATTATTTCCTTCAGAATCACAGAAAAATCAATGTTATAAAGAACCTACTCCTTTATTAACAGTATCAGCTAGATAAGATCTCTAACAGAGATGTATACTTAGAAAATTTTTTAGCTCTAGAACATTTGTAGTACCAAAATCCATATAGATTATATCAAAATTTAAATATGAAACTTCAGGACTCATGTTCTGAGCCCATCCCAGAGAACAAAACAATAACTTCACGTTCCCAGGAATCCTCAGCCAGGGAGGGATGGCTCCCTGGTCTGGTGGTACCAAAACTGATCTAACTACAAACTTCATTAACGGGCTGGTATTAACAAACAAGCAAACAAACAAAAAAAGTGCAGCTTGTGGAGTCTCCATCTTTGGAGTCATTCAAAACTCTAAATTCGGGACAAGACCGGGCAGCGTGTTATTCTGGCAGACCCTACTTCCAGTATGCACTGCTACCTACTTCCCACATGCACTGCTCCCTATGAAGCTTCTAGTGCACCTGCATCAAGAATGGAAAAACAATATTGAGCTCAGTAGTTATGTACTCATAGCAACCTTGTTTACCAGGATCAGCTTGGTCAACTCAAGTCTCTTATTTCTGTTTGCTTGCTTAAGAACTGTCAAAGAGAGAATAATTGTAATTCACACAAATAGGTTTTTGATCCTGTGCCAAAACAAATGTACTACAATTACACAATAACTTGATTCTTTCTAAGATCACGAGTTCCTACGGGTTCAGACAGTAATTACTATGAGAAACATTATGTTTCTCTTCCTTGAATTTTAACAAAAATTTGAAGAACACAAAAGTGCCTCAAAATGTGCCTTTGTTCCCAAACATTAGTCTAGTACCAGCATTACGAATCTCCTGAAAGGTAAAAATGCTCCTTTCGCCTTAGATAGTTTATAATGTATACTGCATTTCTTATAGTCCCTGCTAAGTATGTTCATCTTATTAAATTTAGACACAAAATGAAAAGCATTAAGTAAGACCAATCTTTTCCCTCCCAGATCAAGGTAATGATCCAATTTTCCAAACCCCAGATGATGCAACACAAATGAGCTAGTAGCTGATATTACTCTTCCCCTCTGACCAGGCATTCA